GTGAAGGGTACAACTATTTTATTTACTCAACTATTTTTAACTATTTTATTTAATTAACTATTTTTATTCATTTTCCGGTTTGGTTCACTTTTCTTTACTCAGCAAGGGCCAATTTGTCGTACATTTTTTGGCAATTCTTAATATAAATCTTAAAGGAAATTCGTGCCATTCTTCTCACTTTTCACTGCGAATTTTTCTCTGTGTACAGTAAAATTTTGACAGTTATCTCTGAACCTATTCAGTTTATACAAGTTGTTTACGATAATTTGGCTGCAATTTTTAACGTCATCCTCGTATTTTTTAGACCTATCGGCGAATCATTTGATTCTATATCACCTTGTCCTAGTACAACGAGTTTCGCTCAACTTGCGAACTCATCTTACTTTTTTTTTCTTAGAAACGTTGATTGTGCTCTAAAGTCTCCATGCGCGCAGGAAGCTGGTATGCATCTGATCTTTTTTGCTCTTGTAAATATCACAATTCTTTCCATCTTTAAATAACAGCTCATTTTTTATGGCCTGAACTGTGAATTAACATTTTCCAGTGTCACTAATTGGTCATTTTTTATTAAATCTCCTTGACAGAGGCCGATATTTATGCTTTACCGGGTAACAATTTGCATTGATGTTCTTCATTGAAGGTGTTAATGGAAATAATGGTACAACTTCGATAAGCCGATAATTGTCAATGAAAGAAAAAGTTTGTCATTCTCAATTGTTCATGCAAATTGTTCCTTTAATACTAGCGCATATAGATGACCATAAAAAATTGGTGACATTGCTTGATAATAATTTTTTGTGATGTTGTGAGTTGAGTTCTTGTTAATTTAAGAGATTGTTAGAAAGAGTTTGTATGCAATGAAGAGGAATCCTTGGAATTAAGAGTCTGAAGTATTTTTTTGTCGAATGGTCGAAAAGGGATTCTATTGGATATGCCTAAGATTCTTGTTTACATTATTACACTAATAGAAAGGATTAGTTAACGAACGGATTTGGTTGGAGACGAGGGTCTATTCGGTCTCACGAAATGTTCATTCGTTGATAGTTTACAAATTCACATTTTTGGTGCCTTGTTTGACGCCATTTTCACTTTTCAAGTGAACCATTCGTTGACTATTAACGAATATTCATTTGGTCATATTCAACTCTACCATTCGTTAATAGTTAACGAATCTCGTTTGGAATAAATGAATCAGTCTATCAGTGTAGTTAATTACTCTTGAAATTTAGCAGAGAAAAAAAATATTTTAGTTCTTTGGATAAACATTTGAAATCCCTTCCCCCTGATATGAAATCTCTCCTCCATCTGTTGATAAAACACACGGAGAGATATATTCAATAAAAATTACCTATCTTTTCCGTAATTCCGGAGCGAAGTGGGAATTTTTCCAGAGCGTCCCATAATTTTTACCTGAATCTCCTGTGAAAAATTAGGCTACCGTCACTTAAATTTTCTGAGTCAATTCCGTAATCGGTGAGCGAACTGAGTTCCGTAATTTTTACTGAACATTTCTCTCCGTGCATTCCTTTTAACCCCCNCCCCCCCCCCCCCCACACACACACACACACACGAATAAAACTCTGTCTTCATTCGTGAAAACCCACATATATGAACACTTCCGATATATGACCGCCCTCTCCCCCCATGTATAACGCCCTAAAATCACCTTGAGTTATACCAAAAAATCGACTTGAATCAAACCGAAAAACCGACTTGAATCAGGACGAAATTCGACTCGAATCAAACTGAAAGTGACCTGACTCGGATTCCTGAGACCGATTTGTCGTCTCCGAAGTAGACTTGATTCATGCCGATGATCTGATATGAAATAAATCGATTTCCGGCATAATTCAGTCCGACTTGATTCAAACCAATTTTTTTATGTGAGTCAGGACGATGTTTTTGGGTGTAGTTTATAAAAATTTTCTGCTCAAACCATTGATCAAACCAAACCAATCAAACCAATGTATTGATGGCGTAAAAAGCATTAATACCTCACTCAATAATACATCTACAGTCGCATGTGTTCTGTCACTCGCTCGTTTATTAAAAATAGTCATATGACATGAAAATGATTACCATTTCTGAGAATTTACGTACCATTAACGAATTCAGCACGTTGCATTCTGCTTCAAATATTTTCAATCTGAAATTAATAATTGTGATGAAAACCGACAGTGTCAATAGCTCTTATCGGTATTTGTATCTCATTATTGACAGCAAGTGAGCCTGAGACCAGGATCAGAAATGAGGCAGATGTGGGAAGCTATGCCCTTCCCTATGGACTTCAGAGTTTTTCTCTTCAATATCACCAACCCTGATGAAATTACGGCGGGAGCCAAGCCAATAGTCAACGAAGTTGGTCCATTCTTCTACCAGTAAGTTATAGAGAATTAAACAGAATTACGTGATATAATTATAATTGTGTTAATTCAAGTGATCACTCCACAAGCAAGTAATTTTTTTTCTTTTGCTCGCATTCTAAGCTTGTGATTTATCAACGAGTGACTTGTAGGTTGTGGCACGTTTTTTTTGCTAAAACTGCTCATTTTCTGGATACATTGATGTACACGGAGAGAAATGGTCAGTGAAAATTACGGAGCTCACAATTCGCTCACCGATTACGAAATCGACTCAGAAAATTTAAGTGACAGTAGCGTAATTTTTCACGGGAGATTCAGTTAAAAATTACAGAACGCTCAGGAAAAATTCTGTGACAGTTCCGTAAAATTTCCTACAACCGCATTTCGCTCCGGAATTACGGACAAGATACGTAATTTTTATTGAATATTTCTCTCTGTGTATGATAATCTTCTAATCGATGAAAAAAATCCTGCCCACTCAAATCATTCGGTCCGTTGATTTATCCTGGTAACAATTTGTGGAGCTCTGCACGATACTGAGACGAGCCTGTTTCTAGAGCAATACTTCTGGAAAGAATCTTGTCGAATCCACCACACTGCAAAAAATAGATGTCTGAATTTCAGACATCTGTTGTAGACAACTTTCAAACACCTATACGTGTCTGAATCCACAAACATCTTAATATAATGATCTCAAAAATTGAATGACCCCTTAATATCCCGTTGTACACGAAGAGAAATTTTTTATGAAAATTCTCCTACCGTTCTATAAAAGTGTATCATGAGTCGTCGTTTCCTCATTTCCGTCCCGAAATGTAGTCAAAATTAATATATGATGATCAAATTTTATTCTACGTTAGAGAAATTTTATCCTGACACATAATAAATTTTACTTTTTCAGTCCAATAATTTTTATGTAGATAACAACGAAAATTCGGTACAGTACAGTGGACTCTGGTTAGAGTCGACTGTTTTGCGGGATAGGGGAAGCGAATTCGGAGAATTCGACTCTATTTCCCTGCCCCCACTACGCGCTCACGCCGAGCCCGACTTCCGAGAAAACTGGGAACGATAAAATGAAAAATACTATTTCTTTTCTCTCCCAATTCAACACTTCATTTTAATGATAAACTTTAGTTCACAGTTTCAACTATAATAGCAATATTCATATAGATTCAGACGATTTTTTTATTATCAATATTTTTAATTTCATTGACTATATTTGATCACAGAAGCTTTGTACCTAACATTCCATAGAACAGATATTTCTTCTGGAGTTAACGAACCATGTGAATCAAAAATGTTACAGTCATTTTCTTTACCTCCCTTCATTATTTCATTTAATCCAATTTCGAATTAATGTTATGCCAACAAAACGAGATCCTCCCCCCATAACAGCCAGAAGTGGACTAAATTTTTTGATCGACAATTCAAATGCAGAATATTTTATTTTTCGTCTTTACTGGAATCGGAAGACAATAGCAATTTGAAGAAAATATTGGAGTGTTTACTCTCCGGCTTGCGTGGGGACAGAGTGGGGGAAGCGCTTGAGCGGCGAGACAAAAAAATTGAGGGGAAATTCGACACTAAACAATATGCCTCTAACCAGAGTCCACTGTAATTTTTCCTCTACGGGCACGGTAATTTTTATTTTTATCAGGATAAAATTTCTCTAACGTGGAATAAAATTTGATCATCATATATCAATTTTTACTAAATTTCTGGATAAAAATGCGGAAACGATGACTCATGATCCACTTTTATAAAACGGTAGGATAATTTTTATTAAAAAATTCTCTCCGTGTAGAAATCACCCCGCTCGAACTCATCAGGTGAGGAGCCGTATCCCAGCTAGAAATACCCCGTTTCGCCCCAGCTTGGACAAACTCCAAATATGTGGGAAAAAATAGAAAAGTTATCAACAAAATATTTTGAACACCAAAATGTAGTGATGCCGTGAAACATTAGACGAGACATCACGAGACAATACTTTGGAGGGATTGTCTCGGTCTCAGTCAACATGGAAATTTTTCATCTCGTCTTAGTGTATACTCAGTGTCGACTCCGCTCTGAATGATTTAGATTCAATTTATTTCATGTCGGTTTCCAGTTTTTCGTGTTTTTAATATGTAGAAGACCGAGACAAAAACCGAGGTTTTACATTAAAAAATAGGAAAAACTTGAGACCAAGATGAGATAAATTGACTGAGAGTTATCATGCGCGAGAGCAAAAAACTATGTTCTCTGACCGAGATCATCTCTCCAAAGTTTCATCTCGTACACTGTTAGAAGGAAAATAAAATTTCATGGAGGTTGACTACCAATTTTCAGGACAGTGACACTGAATGCGATTTAGGGGGAAAAAAATCATGAAATTTCAGGTTTCACTGAAAATTCACTAAAATTTACGAGTTTTAAGGAGTATAAAGACGAGAATTATTTAATTTCCTAGAATTTCCAATCTTATATGAATATTCAGTGTCAAATTGCGTTGAATTTTCAGTGCAATCCAAAATCTCATGATTTTTTTCCTCCTAAAATATATTCTGGTTTTTTACTCATTTTCAGGGAAAATGAAATGGAAATTTACAGTTCGGTTTGATTTCCCACGAAATTCTGAATTTTCAATGACAAGATTTCCTGAAATTTCAGTGGAATTGGCACACGATAAAAATTTCCGGAATTTGGCACGGGAAATTCAGACACACAAATTCTTAATTCTTAGTGTCTCGCGGCATCACTACAAAAATGCGCGAAATTGATTGAAAATTTGTAATTGAAATATCGTTTTTTTTTTGTTCAGCGATTAGTTTTCTACGAGAGAACAATAGATTCCTCTCCGTTTCACCTGTAACATGCCCACCTAGCCATAAATACCTTAGTGTCGTCTTGTCTTGTCTCGTGCGCAGCCCTAATAATCGGTACCGAGAAAAAATTCTTGCATACTTTTCAGTAAACATTTTAAAAAACCCAACTGAATCTTCCTTGACATTCTTCCTGCAGAATGTTTCATTATTTTTTTTTTAATCATGTTTTTATTCAAGTTTACTAAGGTATTCATAAATATTTACAAATATTTACATGAATTTACGATATATGTCTAATTATAATAAACATTGGTCACTCAGTAACTGTCGAGTTTAATTATTGTTTTTTTTGTTTTTTTTTATGTTTCCATTATCGTATTTTTTCTTTTTTTTTTGCTCCATTCAGTAGCATATTGTATTTATTATAAATATTATATGCGCTCAAAAAAATAGAACTATTTAATAAATTAAAAAAAAGAAAGAATGTAGTTGCATTTTATTTGTAAAAAAAGCGCTTTTTTAATTGCGGGGCAGAAGGTTTCATTACCAACTGAATTGAATGATAATAGCAACGTGAGTTACAGACTCACACAGTTTCAACTTCGGTTCTGTTGCTGTGAATGAGACTGCAATAAAATATACATTGAGTAATTAACATTAATTTCTGTGATGAAGTGAGTACAAGGAGAAAGTGGACCTGAAGGACGTTGAAAAGGATGACACATGTGAGTACAGTAACAAAGCGACGTGGCAATTTTCTCCTGAAAAGAGTGGAATGGGCCTCTCTGAGGACACCGTGTTAACATTTCCCCACGTCATGATCCTGACCATGATTTTGACGGTCATGAGGGAACAACCAGGGACAATAAGTTTTGCTAGTAAGTTGATTCACAACTTCATAAGACATGCAGGGTGACAAACGCACGGAGAGAAATATTTAATAAAAATTACATATTTTTTTCGAAACTTTTTTCGAAATTTCACGAAACTGTCACGAAATTTTTCCAGGGGTCCGATTCCGATCGCTTGTGACAGTGAGAAGTGAGACGGTTGTTATTTGTTTGCTATGTTAATTCAATGTACAACAAAAGTTATCATCTCACTTTTCACTGTCACAAGCGATCGGAATCGGGCCCCAGAGCGTTCCGTAATTTTTTACTGGGGTCCGATTCTGCAAAAGTTTTCACGATGAGAAGTGCGACAGCTGTCATGTGTTTCCTCTGTTAGAACAATGTAAAACAAAAGTTTCCATCTCACTTCGCACTGTGAAAACTCTTGTAGATTCGGACCCCTGAATCTCTTGTGAAAAATTACGATACCGTCACTTAAATTTTCTGAGCCGATTCCGTAATCGGTTAGCGAACTGTGAGTTCCATAATTTTTACTGAACATTTCTCTCCGTGCGGATATGGTGGAACGTAAATTCGCACCATTTTTCCGGTCACGCTGGATAAGAATAGTAAATGCCGAGGGGCTACTCATTCCATAATTGAGTGACACCATGATTTCGAAATGAAGTCGATTTCGGTGATGTCGAGCGTCACGGAAGTTGACCTCATGATTTCGAATGATTTCATTAATTTGGAATCAGTCATTTCAGAAAAATAAAGTTAACAAATAATAGAGGGGGGCAAAACGGGATGTGTCAAATTATGAAAATCAAAACGGACAATATTAACATTACAATACAAAATACTACACACATGTTCAATTAGATTTTAATATTACATTAAAGAAGGGAATTTATATAGCGTTCCATATCTTTATGGATCCATGTCTTATCAACTGGCGACATTTCAACTAAGACATTTCAACTAGCGACATTTCAACTAAAAACATTATCAACTAACACTCCTTCAACTAGGACATTTCAACTGGAATTTTATGCGAAACATAAACTCCAAAATTCCAAGTTTTCCGATTTTAGAAAAAAAGTGAATTAATATATTTGAAGTTTTGCAAATATTAAAAGTTTTTTTTTTCAATTTTTGACAACTACTTTGTAACATACAGCTATCCAATGGAAATTTCAATATATCTAATATTTCTCAAAAACATTCGGAATACGTAAATAACGATGATACCGCACAAATGCGAGACTTAGGACGATTGTTAATCGCGAGAATGCACTGGATAATTTTGAGGATTATCTGAGGGGAATTGCCCAATGCATCAAATTATAAATTCTCATTAGTTACGCGTCATTGTACAGCGATTATTTATTGCATTTATTCGTGTATTTTTGCCCACTTACTGTTCTACTTATAAGCTATTTCGTTATTATTTATCAATTATTTATTGAAATTCGAAGTTGCATAGAGATCAAGTTCATCATGTTACTTTCTGTGATAAGATAAAAAAAAATGATACAATTAAAATGAAAAACCATAAATTTATAAAATGTATTGCGATAATGTTCATTATGTTAATTATATTTTTAAAATAATTCATAATAATAAAACTGTTCATAATAATAAACTATTGTAATAGAATGGAAAAAATATACATCATAAAAATGAAAAACCATACAACTACGTCTTATGCATGGAAAAATCTAGTTGAAACGTCGTAGTTGAAAAGTCTTAGTTAAATAGTCGTAGTTGAAATGTCGGCCAGTTGATAAGACGTGTTACCATCTTTGTAACGTCACAGGAAATGATTGGATGGGATTTGGATGAGGTAGGACGGGAACCGGGACTACTCTGAATATGAATAGCCAGAAAATTTTTACTGAAAAAATGGATAGTCCAGACAAGGATTTGAACTCGCTATCTTCCGATTATGCACTGGGTGTTCTCCCAACTGAGCGATCCGGCTTAAATAATAACGAATTGGCTTGATTCTACTCCGTCAATCTTGAGTTAATAACGATGAAAAGCGGTCTATTTTACCATTTTACTATGGCAGTGAGTTCGATATGTCGAACTAAATTAAATTTATCAAGATATTAAAATTAAATTCAAGAATGCATGGTAAGGCATAATTATCAAGCCCTACCAGCACTTAACATGACCCAGAGTTCGTGACGGGGACGCGGCTGGTATGAACCCCACAACGCCCCAATAATATAAACGTTGTTGCTTTTTTTTTTCTTTCCTGGGCTGCTATTAATGAGTAGTGAGTTCGACATGTCGAACTCACTACCATAGTAAAATGGTAAAATGGATTATCATCGTTGCCAGGTGTGTCAATTTCAAAATCAAGAATTACTTGAACGGTTCGTACTACGCCAGTAGTCCACTGATTTCGGTGATTTCATTGATTTCACACGATTTCACGTCATTTCGGAGATGATTTCAGTGATTTCACGTGATTTCGGAATGATTTTATGCCAGAGTGGCGCCCTGATTTCGGAAGTGAGTAGCCCCTGGGTAAATACACGTACACTGTTAGAAAAAAAAAAATTTCATGAACAGTTGACTATCAATTTTCAGGATAGTGACACTGAATGCAATTTAGGGGAAACAAAATCATGAAATTTCAGGTTTCACTGAAAATTCTGTCAAGTTTCAATATTTTAAGGGCCATAAAGACAAGAATTCCTCAATTTATTCGAATTTCCAATCTAATATGAATATTCAGTGTCAAATTGCATTGAATTTTCAGCGAAATCTGAAATTTCATGATTTTTTCCCCCTAAATTGCATTCAGTGTCACTGTCCTGAAAATCCAAGAATTTATTAACCAGAATTTTCTGGTTTTCTATTCATTTTCCGGGGAAAAAGGAACGGAAATTTACAGTTCTATTTGATTTTTGCATGAAATTCTGAATTTTCAATGACAAAATTTCCTAAAATTTCAGTGGAATTGCAATGCGATAAAAATTTCCGAAATTTGCCACGGAAAATTAAAACAAAAATTTTGAACAGTGTATGGATCGAGTTTGCAAATGCATTTCCGGTAGATTTTTGTTCCATGCAATTTTTAGTCATAATAATTGTCATCTTTATTAAACGGTGAAAAGTATTTGAATGCAAATCATGAATAATCATCTCGTAACTGGAGAATTGAACGTAACTTATACTTCTATCCCCATCGTATGTTTTCGCAATTTTCAACTAGCGATTTTGTTGGCCCAAACAAGACTTGTTTGGCAACGTGTTTGTTTTTCTCCTAGTGGGGGATTTACGGATAGTTCGAATATGAGTAATTCACTTTTTAACAACAAATTATCACGATTTTAGCAAGAGCAGTTGACAGTATTTTTCACAAGCCTGAGTCAGTATTTATCAAAGCAACAGTGAAGCAAATTCTCTGGACAGGCCTAACAGTTGATTGCACCGTCCAAGACTTCCAGGGAAAATCAGCTTGTACGCTCCTTGCTGAGAAGGAAGAATCCTTCATTAAGGATGGTCCTGGGAAATACAGATTTGCTCTTTTGGGTGCTGTAAGTCGATGAATTTGTTCATACTTATCCTATAAAGTTTTGGATATTTTTACCATCAGCCTATGAATTTAAGTTTACCGGAAGTAATCTATAAACACTCAAATGTTAATGTCCCCTCAATTCTGGATAAACGTATCCAAAAAAGTCATGAAATGCCAATATACAATATATTCATTCATCTATGAAATAGTATATTTCGATACAAGTGCGTAGAAAGTATTTCACAGAAAGCCAGTCGTGTTTTGAATCCTTTTTCAAGAATTTCCTTTATGCCCTTTAAAATTCTGGAATTTTACTGAATTTTCAGTGAAACCTAAAATTTCATATTTTTTGTGGAGCGAACCACAAACAAATTATTATTTCGAAATTCATCTAACGCGTCTCAAATATTCTATATCGTCATATTGGAGCAAACATCATTTTATCCTTGTCCCTCACGAAATTTCTGGACAATTCTCGAACCTTCCATAAAAAAAGGTGTTTAAATCCGCACGCTCCCGACCAAGTAGATCAGTCCGATTGTCAAACTCGATGTAAACACATCTAACGTGCTAATAGAATACCTTTCTGCTAAACCATAAGTTATTATTCTACGACATAGGGTAAACTGCCCAGTAGATGGACGCCTAAGAAAACCGCCCAGTAGATGGACGTTTGTTGTTTAGCAATTGAAAAAAAAAATTGATCGAAAACAAATCGTCACTCAGGGGTTAAGAATCATAACAGTTAGTGAAAATTCAAAGCAACAATTCACGTTTCAGTATTTTTTTTGCGTAATTTCCTATGCAAAAGTAGCTCGTCCATCTATAGGGCAGTGTCCATCTACTGGGTAGCTTACCCTACACCTAACCGCCACATTTTTCCCCCTAAATCGCATTCAGTGTCACTGTCCTGAAAATTGGTAGTCGACTGTCTATGAAATTTCGTATTTTTTCGAATAGCGTATTTTTCAAGAATGCCTACTTTCCAGTAAAAACCAAACAAACATTTTCTGGGCGCAGTTTTTTTCCAAAAACATTTGTTTTTTTACACGGAGAGAAATGTTCCGTAAAAATTACGGAGCTCACAATTCACTCACCAATTACTGAATCGACTCAGAAAATTTAAGTGACGGTATCGTAATTTTTCACAGGAGATTCAGATAGCGCGGAGAGAAATGTTCCGTAAAAATTACGGAGCTCACAATTCACTCACCAATTACTGAATCGACTCAGAAAATTTAAGTGACGGTATCGTAATTTTTCACAGGAGATTCAGATAGCGCGGAGAGAAATGTTCAGTAAAAATTACGGATCTCAGAGTTCGCTCACCGATTACGGAATCGACTCAGAAAATTTAAGTGACGGTATCGTAATTTTTCACAGAAGATTCAGATAAAAATTACGAAACGCTCTGGAAAAATTCCGTGATAGTTCCGTAAAATTTCCTACAACCACATTTCGCTTTGCAATTACGGAAAAGATACGTAATTTTTATTGAATATTTCTCTCCGTGTAGGGTATATACATAGGTAAACGTTTGGTTCATTAGTGACTCTCGAGTTTACTTTATGTTTTGGAATTTAATTTAAGCTAGCATAATATTTTGAACAATATAGCGTAATCATATCTGCAATGATATAATAAAAATCAATTTTTTGTGCGTCATTTGCTTGATCCGAACATGCTATCTGGCTCCCAGCCACTTCTACATTTCAAATTTATTGTACATGTCGAGCTCTGCCACCCTTCATACGGCAATTATCTTTCACTAGAATCAATCATGGCCTGAGAGCCTTAAAAATAACTTCTTAGCAATTGTTTTTATGAATTTCAGAAAAACGCTACAGTGCTATCAGATAGACTAAAAGTGAGGCGCGGTATTCAAAATTACCTACAAGTGGGCGAGATGGTGGAGTTCAAGGGGGAGAAAATACAAGAGGTCTGGGCGGATGAAGGACCCTGCAACAACCTCACTGGTACAGATTCCACTATTTTCCATCCGCTGCTTTTTGAAGATGAGGATATGCTCTCTTTTACTAGTGACATGTGTCTCACTGTACCAGCTCGCTATGTAAAACCATCGAGCGTCAAAGGTCAGCTCCATTAACAACCAACATGAATTATTCATCATTGATCATTACCATTTATTAGTAATTAGTATGCATTCAACAGCGAAGTGGGAAAACGTTAAGAGTCAATACCTCACATATTATAAAACACGAAATGATTCAATCGATAATTGATTATTTCGGAAGAACATATGCGGTTATACGTCATTCAATCGTAGAAAATACATCTTGAATAAATAAATTCCGGTCTGAAAACATCCGAAATGGAGTATTAGGGAATTTGGTCTTCGTGAATTCAGACATATTTAAATTGAATTACAATTTTAGGAAATTAGAAAAAAAGAGCAACATTATTCGACTCTCCACACTTTATTTGATGTCTCATTAATGCACGGAGAGAAATTTTGTAGAAAAATTTTAGTGTTAATACTAGAAAAATCCCATTCCACCGGCTATGAGAAATTCTAGTGCTGTTGAGGTAACATTTCTGGGGATTTCTGGACGGAGAGAAATATTCAATAAAAATTACGTATCTTTTCCGTAATTCTGGAGCGAAATATGGTTGCAGGAAATTTTACGGAACTGTCACAAAATTTTTGCAGCGCATTCCGTAATTTTTACCTGAATCTCCTGTGAAAAATTACGATACCATCACTCAAATATTCTGAGTGACGGTATCGTAATTTTTCACAGGAGATTCAGATAAAAATTACGGAATGCGCTGCAAAAATTTTGTGACAGTTCCGTAAAATTTCCTGCAACCATATTTCGCTCCAGAATTACGGAAAAGATACGTAATTTTTATTGAATATTCGCGAGTTCCGTAATTTTTACTGAACATTTCTATCCGTATGTACCGCACGGATAGTCAGGAGAGTATAGACATACTGAGAAAATACAAATAGAAAACGCAATTTCCTTGATAACAGTAAATTACAGCAGGTCATAATCAATAATCAATACCAGGAAATCAATTTATAGGAAAAGTACCTATTTAAGGGGAGACCGCGGTGAAATTTGAAAGTCTCGGCTCGGCCTTAAGAGCCATTGGACGACTTTTGATATGTGAAGGGATATATAAAAAAGTAAGAAAAATTTCGGACCCGAACCGTTTTGCCCCGGATATCCACCAAAAACGTCGTTTTTCACGTTTTTAGCTTAGAAATGCCCCTTGTACCACAGTTTTCATTCGATTTCAATTTTTTTTTTTGAAATATTCGCTATACCCTCGCACAAACCCAAGTATCCGTTTTGCTTTATATTTATCAGATCATGAGAAAATGATTTTTTTAGTTTCTATTTTTTGTCCTCTTTTTACCAAATGCTAAAATTAGTTGTTTTTCGTTATTCCACGTTGTAATCATACGTAATCGAAATATTATAACAAAAAAAATGGGCGGAAAATAACGAATTTTAGTATTTGCTAACAAGACGAAAAAAAATGAAAACTAAAAAAAAAAACACTTTTTCGTCACTGTGGCCGGATAAGCGGCGCTTACTGGGGCTCTGTTGGGAGGGGGTAAATGGAGTTTACCACTACACTTCTATAATCGGTGCTCCCAGGAGGGTAAGTGGGGGACCAGGCATGGTAAGTCTCACTTACCTATGTAAGGAGCGATAAGCGGAAGTCACAATGAGCCCTGACATTCCCCCCACTTGGGCATGCGCTCCGCAATCGGGGAAAAGGAATAGTCGAGAAAGATTTACAGCGTCCCTAGCGGCCATTTCTGTAACCTAACCCACTGGTAATAGAAGTGACAGGTAGCCATATTGTTGTTTACATCGTTGAGTATCGGATGAGTACCCAGCGGTTCACACTCCTCACGAACCGCCGCTTATCGCCCTCATGACATAATGTACTATCTCATGATCTAATAAATATAAAGCAAAACGAATACTTGGGTTTGTTCGTTGGAGTATAGCGAAAATTTCAAAAAAAAAAAGTTGAAATCGGATGAAAACTTTGGTCCAAGGAGCATTTTTAAGCTAAAAACGTGAAAAATGACGTTTTTGGTGGATACACGGGGCAAAACGGTTCGGGTCCGAAATTTTTCTCACTTTTTTATATATCCCTTCATATATCAAAAGTCATCCAATGGCTCTTAAGGCCGAGCCGAGACTTTCAAATTTCACCGCGGTCTCCCCTTAAATTATTTTCAAGTCAGCAATCGACATTATTCTACAAATTTTGTCATTAACACGAATATTATTAACCCTCGATCACTCGGACTTGTCTCACTTCACATCATTTTCACGCAGAATTTCGATGGCATATTATTACTTGTTGTTTCCAGGTCTTCCCACAAATCATTATGTTGCACATTATGGTGACATGAATAAAGACGAAAACCTGAAATGTTTGTGTCCTGCTCCAAATAAATGTCTGAAGAAAGGCCTCATCGATCTATTCCCCTGTATCGGTGCACCTATGGTTGCTAGTCTTCCCCATTTCTACCTCGTTGACGATTTATATTTGACCCAGGTCGATGGTCTCCATCCAGATAAGGTACAGATTCCAATTCATATATAAATGAATAAACGTACAAATGAAAATGTGTAAAACGTAAATTTTTATTGGAACGTAACAAATGCATCTATATTTTTATAACGAACTGTATTGAATCTAGAAGGCGTCTTGATTTACTGAATGCTTCTTTGCGCTCCTTACAAATATCTTTTAGCTTTAATTTTTGCTCCTGAATTACTTTTTTCTTTGCTTATTCATTTTACTGTATCTAGCTGCAAACTGCTGCTTTACCTTTGTCATTATTCATAGTTCCTGCGAGTGTCTCATGCCACATTTCTATTATATATACAATTATTCCTACAAACACTTTTGTTCATGCTCAAAAAATTCTTTTCCCCCATGCGATGGCTATGTATCCCAAAAGGATTGATAAATAATAATAATAATCATTGGAACGTAACTTGTAAAGACCATGAGGGATACACCGAGCGAAAAGCGAACAATTTCTACAACAAGTCTTGTTTGGGGCAATAAAATCGTTATTTAAAAATTACAAAAAAAATTCATCGTTTGCTTCGAATTTGGAAGTCTTGAACATTAATAATTGCTCTGCGGTCAACAACAACGAAATATTCGGCTCAAGAGGCGGATCATTCATGTAAACCAGTGCCTTTTTAGGATAACAATATCTTTTATAGAGCGAAGTTGATCAAAAATATTTGGTCCCTAAGTTAAAAGATTGCTGTCATATTATTATTATTTCATTTGCGAATTCATTTTTTGTCTGTGATTATTGAATAGCCGAAACGACGAAATAGTATCCCTCGTTTCATATACAACGAGCATTTGCCGGGAGTAGAATACGTATGGGAGCATCGAATAACGAAGAAGTAGCGCTGGAAATTACATTTCCTGCCCACACAAAGGATAAAATTTTTTTGATTAAATCTATTCAATCCGTGCATTCCCATAGTCGGCCAACTAACTTAACCATTGCATCAGTCACATGAAACAAAATTCCCAAGATTCCATTTACTTATTCATTGAAAAGTTGAGAAATTCTTCCAAAAATGTCGATTTTGCCTAATTGAATTCATTATTAATTTCAGGAAGAACATCAAATTTTCATAAACTTGGAGCCGATGACAGGAACCCCTGTAGAAGCAAGAAAGCGCTTACAATTCAACATGTTCATCCGTCCAGTGGCGAAGTTCTCATTGATGAAAACTTTTCCACAGGCACTTCTTCCATTATTCTGGGTGGAGGAAGGTATCCTGTTGGAAGATAAATATGTGGATCAGCTGAAGATGGTCTACACGCTCATCTCCATCGTTGGGTAGGTCGTCTTCATTTACAAATTTTCTTCGGGACGCAATTGACCCCCCCTTATTCAATGAAGTGGATAATAGCAGTTTTTGAAAGAACGCGCGGCGTTTTTCTTTAATTACAATTGACTGGCTAACCGGGAAAATTAAAAAAATTTGACTTTGTCAATTAAAATGTGTAAAAAAAATTATAGTAGTTTTTAGAACAAGATATTTCCCAAAATTCCTGGAGAAAAATCGTTTCGAACAGGCGAATTATTTTTTCTCATGTTAAATGAATTTGCTCATGACCCGACGTTGCCGGAAACTCGCTAAATGCGCCCGGGCAGTGTAGAGTGAATTCGAAAATGCTAAAGCCTAAATAACACGACGGGGAATCCCCGCGGAGGTGACCAAAGACGCAGGGGCGCGCCTGGCGACCCAGACTAGGGTTAAATTCGGACGGCGCGTCGTCAGTAGATGCCATATCTTATAGACGCAAAGTATAATATTTCAATGCGAGGAAGACCCAGGAATATTATTCCGGAATTGAGGATGAAGCATCCCGGATTATGGAATATTATTCCGGAATCTAGAATATAATATACCGGGTTCAGAAAGCCATGTTCCTGATTTCAGACTATTATACAGGGTGACGTCAGCACTTTGTTCACAAATTGTGAAGAAATATAGAATGGAAAATCTGTAATTCAATGGCATACAAATTATGGAATTATGATAATAAATTTCTGAATAGTGAGCGTTAGAATTTTGGAATGATTTATCCAATAGCATCATGGTAGGCTCCTGCCATACTGCCATGATTGAAAATGCCGATGATACGACAATTATGGCGATATTTACTGCCTTGATTTTAGCGACATTATGTGCGATAGTTTGAGCAACATTATGTGCAATAGTTTGAGCAATGTTCATTGCAGCCATGAACCGATAATTTTATCAACATGATGAGCGATATTAACTATTATATCGAGTCCCATTGGCAACTGCGTTATCGTTTCCAATCATGGTGGTAGTCAACAATATAATTGGCTGAAGTATTGAAAAATGCTAATGTTCACCACTTGAAAGCATTATCGGAATTTACTAATTTTTGTACCATTGAATTTCCGATTTTCTATTCTATATCTGCCTGAAATTTGTAAACAAGATGCTAAGGCCCCCCTATATACCCCATTCAAGGATTTTTTTTCAATAAATCGAAACAAAAAAAAATTTGAAAGAAACACACCTGGATGAGTTAAAAAAAACGCGTGAAGAGAATTGCTATTACATTGAGAAAAAGACATTATTTCTGCTCAATAAATACATATGTTGCGACTCCGGACGCGCAGCGTCCAAAAAATAGCATTCATCACATGGCCGAAAAAAAGTTTTTTTCACTGCCACTACATTCGCCTCATAGAAAAAAGTGTTTTTTTATTTATTCGTAAACGCAAAATGGCACAGTTCGCCACTCGTTGAACGTAACATCACTGATAAAAAATAGAGTTAGATACATCTGCAACGGAGATATTTCAGGTCGTGTGATTGGCAGCCCTCCACGGAGAGAAATATTCAAGAAAAATTACGGAACATTTCACGTAATTCGCAAGCGAGAATCGTTTTCAGTGAATTTCTATAGGAATATAAGAGAATAAATCTGAAACGTTCAGTAAATTTTCGGGTCTGTCACCGAAAAAATACGAAAAAGTCACGTAATTTTTCTGGAAGTTGTAAAATCTAACAGAAACTTCAAGACTTATTATACCGCAGAACATGAAAATTCTTGGATGTTTAAGAATTTTTACGAAAAGTTCCGGAAAAATTACGGAACGTGTTGTTAAAATCTCCCCCTCACGGTGACTCATGGCTAGCCGTGAGGCGTTGGACGGATGAGTAATTTTTACGGAACAGATCGTAGAATTTACGTGACGATTGACACTTTTTAGTGAATTTTACTTCTCTCCCAGATTACGCTTCGAAACGTAATTTTTACGTCTTTTTTCTGGTAATTTTTATTGAATATTTCTCTCCGTGTCGGCTTCGCTTCGGGCCGCCAACTTCACACTCGTGAAAATCACCGAGACGTAGCCCTGACCTACGACTCGGACTACAAACTCATATTCACCAGAAAAGTTTCTTTCGGCCTAGTGACGAAATAGTACATTATGCCATCAGGCGATAAAAATATCTGATGAATGGGACGAATGGGACTAATCACATGAATCAGATAATACTTTTATGGCCGTGTGACATAAAATACGAATGAAAGAACTAAATGGTGAAAATTTCCACAAGAAATCTGTATTGAACCCTTGTTTCAAACAAATTAATTCAGCACAAATAAATTTAATTGGCAGGAATAATTTTCGTGCTCACATTACACTGCCGTCATCAAATGAAAACGATAAAAGCATATCTAAATTGCGAGTTTCTTCAGCATTGGAAGAAGTGGGAGGTGAAAAATGGTGCCATTTAAAAGCTGGGGAAATTTTCATCAAGAAAAGCAGCCCCTAGTGAGCTATTTCACTTCAGAAACCGGGAAGACTGAAGAATTAAATTTTTAGGGCGAAAAGTTTTTCGGTCCTATCTGAAGAAATTGAGGAGGAAAATGGGTCATTAGAGTGTGTTTGCCCGTCGAAATTTCCATGGCTATCTCTTGAGAACATTTTGAACCTTCTACCGTTGTATCTTGTTGAGATAATCACTCGAATCGAGGGAAACAGGCGGGGTCTTGTTCTACTGCATGTAAATGTGTTCTAGTCGACAATTTATTGCCAACGCTCTTGCGGGGGTTTATACAAAATCACTTTGGTTTATTTCTAGACGTAACTAGGCTGATTTTGGTCAAGTGCACTGATAGAAAAGATTAGTTATTGTTAATGAATGGATTTGGTTGGAGACGAGGGTCTATTCGATCTCATTAAAAGTTCGTTCGTTAATAGTTAGCAAATGCATATTTGAGGAGCCTTATTTGACTCGATTTTCACTTTTTAAGTGAACCATTCGTTAAAACTATTAATCTCGTTTGGAATAAATAAATCAGTCTATCAGTGTTGCTTGACTCGATTTTCACTTTTCAAGTGAGCCATTCGGTAACTATTAACGAATATTCATTTGGTCATATTCAACTCTACCATTCGTTAATAGTTAACGAATCTCGTTTGGAATAACTAGATCAGTCTATCAGTGTGCGAAAATAGGATACTGTGGCGTGGAAGGTTTTAGTTGTTCCTTAATTAAGCCGCCCTTTGCCTTGAAGACTACGCCGGCTAGTCTCGGTACGAGCTCACGGGGAGTTGACCCATTTAGGGGGGTTTAGGGGAGGATTGATAAGAGTTCTTCTTAATAATCGAACACCATTTAATTATTAGTGAAATATTAGTTGAACAGAATCGATAGTATAAAATCAAATGATAACCAATTGGGTGCGATATCGCGCGCGGAATTATTTACTCAAGATTTTTGGCGAGACGTGGACATCGGTTCAAGTCCAACTCCTCCCGTACTCTGTCTTACCGAGGGTCCTCAGAGACGCTTCAGTCCCTAAAATGTGTAGATAAGCGTTCTCATGCTTTTGTACGACTAAAACTGCGTTGGCGATGTCATTGACAATGCCCCAAGACGGTTAATCGTCTTCCTTTCGGAAGTCGGACTCTTGTAACACCCGTGAGAATGCTTACCTTGCTGATCATGCTCGGTTTAAAAACATTCTTTGAGTTGAAAATATTAGAATAATATTTAAACCAACGTGTGTCAGACACCACACGTCACAATACTCATATGGAAAATGCAAATAGACTTGTGTTATAGGAAATTCTGTAGGATAATCCCGTGTAACACCCAGACATTTCCTAGGATGAAATTTCTGTTCATCTTTCCCCGAACAGTTTAGAAATGATGATTTTCAAAAGGATGAAAATGACGTGATCTGCAAGAGTCTTGTTCTTTGCGAGGAAATTTTACCGTTTTCAAATAATTAATATTATTAACTAAATTCATGAATCACATGTGGGCAAGTATATTTTCGGAGTTTGTAGACAAACACAAAATTGTTTATTTCCTCGCTATGCAAAAATCAATGAAATTGTCCTAAAAAACAAAAATTAATATGTTTGTAAAAAACACTCGACCAAGGACAATTTTTCTTCGGTTCCTGGAAATGAGGAAGACAGTTTTCTAGAAAAATATAACTTCCATAAAAAAATTGAACGAGAAAAAGAAACGAATAAAAATAAGCCAAGTCAAGGGTCAATAAAAAAATCAGTAAAGATAGAACTAATATCGTTGGCGTGTAGTTTTTTCAATCACTGCCTAATATCATTCTAATCTCCCATGTTCTAACCCGCGCCAAGAATGTTGGTCCTACCTTTACTGATTTGTTATTGAGCTCTGACTTGGCTTATTTTCATCAATTTCTGTATTTTTTTAAATTTTTTATGGTCGTTGCATTTTTCTGGAAAATTGTTTTCCTCATTCCAGGAAAAACCAAAACAAAATTTTCTTTGGCAGTTTTCAATTTCATATATGGATAACTACGTAGCAAAATATTTTGAGTCAGTAGCGTAACCCCGAAATAAATGATTTTCTATGGATTTTTCTAGGATTGTCAAGTGGCTGATGATAATCGGAGGTCTTGCATTAATCGGTACGGCTGTCTACCTGAAGTACAGAGGCAAGGAGGCATCTAACAAGATTGATATCACGACGATATCCCCCCAATTCACTTCAACAGCGCTAAATAGCATCGAGAAGAAACGGGCGCTGGACGTCAACACGCCACAAAGCGCACCTGCCGAGGGCTAATTAGCAATAAATAGAAAACAAATTCGTCTTTGAGAATTCAATTAATTTTGCATTCATCTGGGAAGCAAGTGTTTTCAACCCTTTAAGGTGCAAAGTGTAGTAAAGCGTGGTAGGACGCTCGAGTGGGGATATTGAAATTCACCTTATAGGGTTAAGAGATTATTTCTTTCCTTCGGATTTGATCCAATCGAAGTACAATATTCGGAGCTGTTAGACTGCATTATCATTTTGGCAAGTAGAAGTTTGGCAAGGAGTCATAAATGAGGAGGTATTGCGAAATTTCCGCTGGAAATCTTGCAGTGGCTCTCCGTTTGTTGTTGGAAATTTCGCGGTATCTCTACACGTACTTTTCCTTGAAATTCTTGTCTGCGATTACCTCAAGATCATGTGAAAGAAATAATCCTACGAATACGACTTGTGCTCCAAAGTTGATGAATTATTTCGCACAAGCTTTCCTGCATAGAAACAATGTACCCAATTTTTCAGGAAAGTCCCTCGGGTTGTACCTTCGAGATTTTTAGCCTGATAATTTTGGAACATTTTGTAGTATCACTACCACACTGAGAGAAAAATCTGAAGTTCGATTTATAATAAGAAAATAGTTGAGGCATTTTGGTGAACGATACGATGTTTTTGTATGCGGCACATAACATTATAGTAACTTTACAAGCGTAATTTTTGCAAATCAAAATGCAGTTAAACTAACCCAAAGTTCAAAAGTAATCACGACAAATCTATCGTGAGGAGAACTATAAAATAGTTGCGATGACTACATTCCATTGTAGTAATTACTTCTCCGGGCATAGTTACCGTAACCCATGAAAAATTGTTGAGGACTTTTTGACTATAATTCGATGGTGATGGAATATAGTCAGAAGAATTATATTTTTCTCTCAGTGCAGATACAAGAAATATCGCTTGATAATTTCTCTAACTAGAGTATCTTGCGCGCTCCGAGCGCTATAAATATACCCACTGGGCCTTATAGTTTTTTTATCTAGAAAAAATACATTCATTCCTCATGAATGCGTAAGGACGGTATGAAATGCATTATATATCCCTGTTGTTGTAATGGGTGAATTCTTGAAATTATATCAATTCGTCGGCCAATTTCAAATTGTACAAATTGTTGAAATTTCGTAGGAATAGCTATACTATAGCTATAGAAATAATTTTCATTTATCGATATTTGTAGCTGTGACCATATATATAGATAGGTCTAGTTATATTTATAGCTATAGTTATCAATAGTTATAGTTATGGCTATAGTAATACCTACGAATAGAGTTATTTTATAGCCGAATAGATAGGTGACAGAAAGCGTTACATAATTTTTTTTAATCCTTAAGTGGTCGCATCGTGTGGGAATCCCCGCTAAACCATATGCAACCTATATGGCGCCACTCACGGAGAGAAATATTCAGTACAAATTACGGAACATTTCACGAAATCCGCAGTGGGGAGTCGTTTTCCGGCAATTTTTATAGGAATGGAAGATAAGAAATCTGAAATGTTCAGGGAATTCTCAGGTTCATCACCGAACAAAGTACGAAATTGTCACGTAATTTTTTCCGAAAAAGTAAAATCTTACAGAAACTTTCCGACTTATTATGCCTCCAAAATAAAAAATTCTTGAACGTTCAACAATTTTTATGAAGCTGGTGAGTTATTTCTACGTTCCGTTCCGCAACATGTCTCAATCGTTAGGGAAAAATTACGGAACGACTTGTTGTCCCCACAGCGGTGAGTCATCAGACGGGTGGTTAATTTTTACGGAAGAAATCGTAGAATTTACGTGGCGATTCGTACAATTTCAGTTCCGACTCACACTTTTTATTGAATTTCACTTCGCTCGCGAATTACGTTTCGAAACGTATTTTTTTTTTAATTTAATTTTTCTCTCCGTGCTGTAGAGCGAGTGAGATACTAGAAGAGCGCGACCATTTAAGAGTTAAAGGGAATATCACTCATCATTATGAAAATGATTCTACCTTGGAGAAAATATTCACTCGACATTGATTTACTACTCCGATGCTCAATTCAATCACTGTTCAAAACTAATATAATGTACATTTTTTAAATGATGATGAAGAGATACAGCAGAGCGATTAAGTTTAAGAAGACAGAGTGAGGAACGAAATATATTTTATATTATATTCCCTAGAATTCGAATATCTTCAAAGGTACTATGGACTACTTTGGTGCAAAAACGTAAGTCGTGGAGTTTTGACTGCACTATTCCTGTGGTCCTTTCTTATTATATCCATCAGCTTTCATAAATTTCAATGAATATGAGGTGTTCCTTCTTCAACTCCGTCGTACTTTCTTATGACAATAAAATGCAAATAATGTGATATGGATACATCTTCATTTTCAAGCATTAAAATTCTTTTCTCTCAATGAGGTAACCAAGTTCTTGACCCTTTGAACGGAACGCCTCACTACCACATAACTCTTGGCGTGACCCAAGACGCACGACGAGGACGTGGTGGGTGGACAGTCCCAAAAAGAAAATATAACAAATTTTTCATTTACATATATTCGAATTTAAAATTGAAAATTGGGAGTCCATGAAATTTCATTTTTTTTCTAACAATGTGAATGGGATTTAGGAGGAAAAAAATCATTAAACTTCCGAGGGGCCATTCATTTGTGAAATCACCGTGTCACTTGGGATTGAAATCGTATGAAATCAGTTGGAATCCCTTGCAATCGGTGGCATCTCATGAAATCTAGAAATGAGCCACTCATGAGAACCTGTCGAATATACAAAAGAAAAAGACACTTTCGACTTATTTGTGGTTCTTCTACGTATGCCCATTTACGTGTATTATTTTTATTCAAAAATTCTCGAACTTCAACCAATGACTGCTCGTGGTTCTGTGGCCATTGGTCAATATTGCCAGACAATTTCCAACCCGGTGGTTACCAAGAAAAGTTTAGAAATAGATGAAAAGATGTATAAAGAAGTTATTAAATGTTTCTAATTCCAAAATCCGTTTATTACAGATCAGAGTAGAGAGTTAATTTCGTTTTCGTGAGAAGACCCGGTAAACCGCGATTCTAACCTCGCTTCGCTCGGTTTGATCGCGGTTTACGGGCCTTCTGACGAAAAATTGCATTCATCACACGGTCCAAAAGTATTTTCTGACGAATGTGATTATAGAAAGCCACATTCGTCAGAAAATACTTTGTGGACCTTGTGATGAAAATAACTATTAGTTGAATGCATGAAATGTACGGTGTTCTCAATTTGATTGAATAGGGGAGGATGTGCCTGTACCGCTCAGCGGGTAATAGCGCTCACTCGATATTCTCCACAACCATCAACTTGAAAATTTCTTTCTGTTCCTGATCATGAAGAATTTGATGATAGGATGTGATTGTCGGAAAAATTTCACTTTATTTACCACTTTAAATATGAAAAAACACGTAACGAAGTTTTGAGGTCTTTACAGTGCAAAATTTGTGGACTTGTAATTAAGGTTTTTGATAGTTTCAAACGCTGAATTCTCATATTAAACTGTGGTTATTCAATTCGTGGTACTTTCACGCGTAATTTGAGAACAATTCGAACTCAAAACTCTACTCATGTCAATAATTATCAACAATTTTGTTGACACCGAGCGAAGCCGGTAATACCGCTCATAGGTTCGGCCACGTAGTTGCTCGACAGCACTCGAGTACAGGTTAGGTTGCAGCGCGAGCGATACACGCAAAACCTTATGAGCGGCATTGGAATCGTGTCGAGCGGTATTACCCGACGGCGAGTAGTACCGCTCAATAGGCTCTCTCTTTTATTTTCAATCAATTTTTGTGGATTCTAAGGAGAACTAGGTGTCTACACTTCGAGAATAACGAGTTCCATAGTTAAAGAAGTCTCACAAATACGTTTTTATACTCAAGTTGAAATATAAAATATAAAACTGGCATTTCCCCTAGGTGGGCGGTACAGGCACACCCTCCCCTAAATAGGTACTTTAACGAATGAGTGAAAAAAAAATTTGATTCTTACGGCTTCACCTTGATGGTTTCATCCCTACATTCATTCCCTTTGTAACTCTCATGCTTGAGCCTTCTTGCATTAATATGATGCATTTCTTCCTTCGGGTTCTATCCCCATTCCCTCCTCCTCCATCAAATAGATGAAATCGAAAATGTGAAATCACTTGAAATCGTCTGAAATCACGAAATCATTAGAAAAATCCCAGGCAATCACTGAAATCAATGATTGCATGAAATTATGGAAATCTCCCTGAAATCACGTGAAATCGGTAATCACTGTGTCACCGGGTTTCCAAATGAATGGCCCCTCGGAAATTTCAGATTTCACTGAAAATTAAAAATAATTGGGCACTGAATATCCATATGAGATTGGAAATTCCAATAAATTAAGGAATTTTCGTCTTTATGCTGCTTAAAATTCTGAAATTTTACTGAATTTTGCGTGAAACCTGAAATTTAATGATTTTTTTCTCCCTAAATCGCATTCAGTGTCACCGTCCTGAAAATTGATGGTCAACTATCCATAAAATTTCATTTTTTTCTAACAGTGTACCACCTTTGTATTCCCGTTTCAGTGTATTTGTCGTTCGTATTATTTTATCGGAAGAATATATACTCACGAATTAATATGATCGACCGACGTAAAGCGCGGCCGCAGATTATTTATTAAAATGAATTCCTACCATAACAAAGTCTATAAGTCACATTTTTACTCATTTGACGTGATTTTTTCACTACTTGAACTGCGCAGCTGCGAATGAGTTGGTTGAAAAAAAATTGTGCATCTGGTAGGCCGGCATCCCCAGTTCGGTATCGCATATCCGAATATGTAACATCACTTTTGCGGAATTGAGTTCTTTGAGTCAGTACGTTCTCACGGCTCGGCAATAGCGAGTCATCATCCGCTCACTCGTCCTTATAACTTCCAAGGATTTCCAACCATTTGGATTATCTAAAACCGAATCCAAGATATTTAATAAGACTTAATCAATGAAGTAGTGGATCGCGGTTTTTTAATTAATATTTTTCTTGCAATAATTTTTAACAATTCTCATTAAGTAACTGAAAATGCAACTTTGGCTCAAGTTGGGGATAGCTGGGGGCAGTCTTTTTATGTTCGGTACCCTCTTCGGATTCGCCATTTTCCCGCCGTTCCTCAAGAGTCAACTGAAGAAGGTGAATCGCTGGAGTCGAATTTGTGTAGAAATACTTCAGTGCTAACTGCATTATCATCTTCCTAACGAAATTAGATGCAGAAAAATGGTTTATTTGATTTAATTAAATATTATTTGAATCAACATTGGCAAAAAAAATTACTTTTGTCAAGGAATCATTTTCTTGGGAGAAGAATTTATTTTTTTAGGGGCATATTTCTCCAGGCCAGTCATTCCCAGGCGGTTCAAGTCCATCTCCAAATATTACAATTATGTTGAATTATGGACTGATTATTCTACATATGATCGTGAATGAACTCCATTGACAACTATTAACATTTAACAGAATTATTCCAAATTATTTTACGTTAAAAATTCATACATTTGAAAAAACTGGGAAATAAACGATACAATACACAATTCAATAAATATTCAACATAATTGTAATATTTTTCTGGATTGACAGGGACCACCTGGGAATGACTGGCCTGGAGAAATACGCTCCTAAAAAAATCTGCCAATAAAATAATTCCTTTGCAAAAGTATTTTTTTTCTCAGTGAAATGAATCGATTATTTGGCTCTAATAGAGGACTATTTAATTCAAATAACCAATTTTTCTGGGTGTAACTCATCATTTTGTGACATCGGTGATATTTCCTTTATCATTTTCGAGTGACCGCGCTCGCTGAGGTAGTACGAACGTCAATAGGAACATCGATTGTTACACGAATGAAAAAATTGGATGTGAAATCTTCACGTTTTAACGAGGATATATATTCTTTTATAGTCTATGCCAAGGTAGTAAGGTACATGAATCACGGAATTTGCAATTCAGTAGCAAACACCTTTCCCATTTCAAAATTCAAGCAACTTTACCACTGGATATAAAGATAATTTTTTTCTGGTTGCATTGTTTTTATTACCGATTTCGGGCTGAAATTTTCGGTACACTTCGTGGGAGTTACTATCAAATGCCAGTACCATGAGAATTACAATGAATTTTTTCTCCGGAAATTCAAAATTTGATGAAAAAATGAATTACAAATCAATCGAAATTAAGAAAATTCAGCGTAATTTGGTCCTGAGTATTCATTTTTTGATCGCATGTTCAAGTAAGAATAATTGTCATTTTTCTGCTGCTCAAAAATTTTGAATCCCCTTGGATTTTCAGAATGGATCAATTATAAATCAATATAAATTCGCAAAATTCAGCGTAATTTGTTCCTGCGTATTCATTTTTGATCGCATGTTCAAATATGAAGAATTATCGTCCTCCTGTTGTTCAAAGATTTTCAATTTTTAGTAAATTTTTTGTCTCCAGATCAAGTTTCATGTCGTTCTCCTGAAAATTACTAGTAAACTACTAAACAGTCCATGAAATTTCATTTTTTTAGTAGTGTATTGGAAGCATCGTAATTTTTGACTCTATCATTCCTATTATGAGATTTTAACTGAATCTTCTTTTTTCCGTGTATTTTGTAAAATAATCTGTTCAAAATTTTTATTCATCTTGTCGACATGAAATACGATTTTCCATTCGCATTTGTATTTTAATCACCAGGAGAGGTTAATTATTGGGGAGTTAATAATCAGTTCGACAATGACGTGTCCAGACCCAGGGAATTATCCGATCTCGTATTAAATTGTCTCAATGGAATTAGTGCACTTGATCCTGCCGACTCATTTCATATACGGTGCACATAAAAAATCATTACTTTTTACTAATAGGTTGATTCACCTAAAAATCACCAGCAGATCGACACCTAAAGAGAAATTTTCAAATGTTCGTCAATGTTATTTGGAAAATAATTAATTACTGATCGTTTTTTATTAATTACTTTTGTTTTGAACGTTTGATTTGCCCTTTTGTTTCATTTCTCACTATTTCTCCATTACGAATATCACAGGAGGTTCATATTCATCTAGATCTATCGGTGCTGTGAATAGTATCATTTTTTATGTCATTAACTGATTGTTCCGGTTTTCATTGTCCGACCGTTAATTAACATTTTCCAATGCCATGAGATCGCGTTTTTTTTCAATTGCGCCTGATACATGTTTAGATTGGTGTATCACCTGGTGACAATGTGTATTCAAATTCGTTATGAGAGGATTTCCGTGGGAATATCGAGACAACTGTGGCAGAATAATCATTGGGAATCATGAATTTTCCAATTCAAAAATACCATTTCCATCACACGGTTCGTAAAACGTAGTTTTACGGATATTGTGAAGAAAAATTATGTTCGTCACTCGGTCGAAAATAAATTTTCTGACTCGTGTGATTGCATTCCTGGACTTCACCTCGGTCTGCAACTCTCACACTCCCCAGAGTCAAAAAAGTGAGGTCAGAACAGTTTTTTTTCTACCTTGTGAGGAAGATAGCTATTTTGACACTGTTGCTAGGTTCACCTCATGCGAAAAAGTGCGTGGAGAGAAATCTTCAGTAAAAATTACGGAACTTACAATTCACTCACCGATTAGGGAATCGACTCAAAAAATTGAAGTGACGGTATCGTAATTTTTCACAGGAGATTCAGACAAAAATTACGGAAAAATTCGGTGACAATTCCGTAAAATTTCCTACAACCACATTTCGCTCCGGAGTTACGTAGAAGATACGTAATTTTTATTGAATGTTTCTCTCTGTCTGTCTTTTCGTTTAGCACGGGAAAAGAGGCGCAAAGTGACGGCCAGGAAAAATTCCAGTGCCGGCACTAGAAATTTTATTGGGGAAAACGTGAATTTTACCCCGTATTTCTGTGAAAATTTCACAGAAATCCCCAGAAATTTTACCATAAATACCAAGACATTTTACCTTAACAGCACTAGAATTTTTCACAGCCGCTGGATTGTGATTTTTTCCAGTACTCGTACTAGAATTTTTCTAGAAAATTCCTCTCCACGTACTTGTTAACGAAAAAGGCACAATTCGGTCAGTTGCTGAACGTAACATCACTGTCAAAAAATATTGTTCGACACGTGTGAGAGACGGGCATTTTCAGCTCGTGTGATCGCCAACTTCACACTCGCGAAAATTGCGTGTCACTCATATCAAAATATGCTATCTTCATCGATTTTTTCATCCAACTGTCAATTTTCAATGAGGAAATCCCTTTGAATTTCAATGCAATTGTTCCTGGATAGAAAGAAATAAAAAAAAGGATTTCCAAGAAGTGTACAGGAAACATGAGCCAAAAACTTTTTAACAGTGTGAGCTTTTTAAAAAATAATAATAACTTTGGTTGAATTGCCATGAGTGCGACGTGTCATTCAATATTTCAGCCCACTCAGGGTCTCCACATAATGAACGTTTACCCTGAATATTTCGATGTTTATCACGTGAAAGTGAATAGAAAAGTTCTTATAGCTCACTGATTTATGCAGATTGTGTGACACACTATTGACATACGACAGTGTAAATATTTGACCGTAAACTGTCCATATTGATTGATACTAATTTTGGTGTCTACAATGAATGCCAGCTTAAAGTGTTTGTTTGCATAAAATGAGATAAAAGTCTGGAAGTTGTAGAAAATTGACCTATTCTGTTTTTCAAGAATTCATTGGATTTAAGTTTCAAGGAATACAAAAATGACGAAATGTGCTGAAGCCTGTTACTGTAGATTACCATGACTTATTATGGTTGTTTTTCTGTTATTGTTAGCAAGTTACGTTAAAACCGGGAGGAGAGGTGAGGCAGATGTGGGAAGTTGTACCTTTTGGTATAGATTTTCGAATTTTTCTCTTCAATATCACCAATCCTGATGAGATCAAGGCAGGTGCCAAGCCAATAGTCAATGAAGTTGGTCCATTCTTCTATGAGTGAGTATCAGAGAATAAGATAAAATTGTCATGAAATCCCGATTTTTCGTTGACTGAGAGATGATTCAGAAAACGAAAAAGTCGAAGGAAAAATGTGAGTAGACATTTAGTTTTAATCTACTCAGCTGCACAGTAAAACCGATGCGCAGTTCAGATAAACAAATGATGAAAAATACTCTGGGATTGTTCAAATGCGGTTCATGATGATTTTTAATTCTTTGACACGGCGAGGACTTGACTTTTCCCACGAATGTTGAACACTATTTTTCGCCCCGGCGGGCGCAAAGTGACATTACCCTCCCACTTCGCGGGAGGGAAATCTTTGCGAAATAATCGTTCCAACCACGGGAAGTAAAATAAAGGACCCTTACCTACGTGTTTACCACCCTCGCCAAGGGGTTCTTCACTGGTGCAATCAATGTGTCACTCTGGGATGAAACTACTTGAAATCAGTTCTAAAATCACGTGAAATCAGTTGAAAGCTAATGAAATCAGTGAAATCAATCACCAAATCGGTGAGATGAGAAGTTTCACTTTGAAACGTATAGAAAAGAAAGAAAAAGTTATTATCACCGCATTACAACTTTTGACGACTATGGTTTACCGGCAAAGGTTCCTGTTTAACTATATCCCGCCCTTATGAGTCTTAATTTTTTTACGTATAACTCCCGTTCGCTGGCCCTTTCGTTGATCCTCGAAAAATGAATTCGCATTGCAAGGTCTTTGTAATTTACCAAATCTTTTTCTACATCAGACAGGCGAAATTGCAAATTTGAAATCAGTTGAAATTATTTGAAATCGTGTGAAATCATTTCAAATCATGATATCGGCTGCAAAATCGTATGAAATCACTTGAAATCACGTGGAGTCAATAATACCTTGAAACCACGTGAAATCACTTTGAAATCCCTTGAAATAAGCAATTATTGTATCACGATATTCGGTAGTGAATAACTCTTTGACCCTCACTTTCGTCTCGGGTGGTAATTCCACACGTGGGCATCACTCCATTATTTGGTATTACGATGGTAAACTCTGCTCACCTTCAATTTATGATTTTACATACTAAATCGATGTATTTTTACGAGTTGTGATGTATTATTACGAGTACGATGGATTATTAACGGGACAAATATGATAAAAAGTCGCTTTGATAAACTCGAATCAATTCGGGTGTTATGAGGTGTGATTTTCGTCCCTTTCTGTAAGCTAAATTACACAATATAAATTTCTCCACTATGAGCCATCCTCCTTGATAGATAGGTGCTCAAATAGATGTACGGAATCATCCCCAATATTCCAGCTTACCTTTCTGAGGCATGTATTCAATTAAGAATTCTTAATATACGGTAGACATTCAGAATTTAAATTGTTTTTACGGAGTAATGAGGTATTTAGCAAACCTCACCAACTCTTAGCGCAACCCAGGACTCACGACGAGGACGTTGCTGGTGTAGAATCCCGAAAAACAAATAAAGATAATATGAAAATCCAAGGAAAGAAAATAATGAATTGATCAATTAACTTAAATTACATTAAATTTCAAAAAAAAATCAAAAATAAATTGTAAAAATTTCACTTTACGTACAAATAATGAAAAAAATATTATCAAACTGTGTTGAATTCTCGACAGAATTACTCTGCGAATGCGTTAGAATTTCAGTAGTGAAGTGGTCAATCGGTGTAAGCCGACTTAGCTCCCAGTTCAGTTTATGTCGAATAACTCGGAATTTAAGAAAGATATTTTTCGATCTTTTTCCATAGCCTTCACTTTTCTTTACAAAAAAGATTTTTAGGAAAATTTTGCCAACTCCTTTAGAATTTGAGATATTCGTTGAGAACTGGCGCTAGAATGGAATTGACTTAAACTTCTTGACCACTTCACTACTGATGGATCGAGTTGTTTCCATACACTGATCGAAACGTGAAATAATGTCGTTGCCGTTGAGGAGGCTTCTTAACTATTGATATCATTCATTAACTATTAACGTATCGCATTAATAGTTGAAAAGCCTCGTTAATAACAACTAAATTGTTGTATCGGTGTATGTGCGGAGCTTCGAATCCGAACTGTATTAACTCAACTCCTGCTGTAACTGATGAAAGATCTACAACAACATAGCCATTGAATAATTAATATTGATTTGCCTGATGAAGGGAGTACAAGGAGAAAGTCGACATAGTGGACAATGAAGAGGAAGACACCGCTGAGTACTCCAACAAAGTGACGTGGAAGTTTGTCCCTGATAAGTGTGGACCAGGACTCTCCGAAGATACTGTGATAACTTTTCCTCACGTGATGATTCTCTCCATGGTCATGTCAGTCCTCAGGGAGAAGCCAGGGATGATAGGTTTTGTCGGTAATTTCACTTACCCTTTTATGAAATATGAATTGTTGAATTATTTCTGCAAGGAAATAGGGGATCGAGGCAAGTTGAGGACTGCGATTACACGAGTCGTAATAGTATTTTTCTTCACACTAAAATGACAAATACAGTTTTACGAACAGTGTGATGAAAATTTTCATTAGACTTCGTGATAACAATGAGTGATTTCATAACATGGAAATAAGGTTCATCACTTCGTCGGAAATATACATCTCCGTATACAGAGCAAAGTGAAAGCTTTAAAATAAAGTGTTGGGGTTCATTAATCTGCTAAAGATTTTCTGGGATATTGTAGAAAACAATAGTCCCCACTAATGTTCTTAATCTTCAATTCAGTGGAAAACTGCTGAGTCATTTAGTCCATGAACGAATGAAATATTATTTGCATGATGTATGAAACATCAATTTTTGGCCTTCACGGTGAATACAATTTTATGAGCTTCCCAGTGAGACAGCTAATAGAAAAATTATGATTACAATTATAGCGAAGGCCGTGGACAGTATTTTCAAGAAGCCCGATTCAATATTCTTCAAGGCCACAGTGAGGGAGTTCCTCTGGACAGGCTTACCAATCGATTGCACAGTTCAAGACCTGCAGGGAAAAGCAATTTGCTCACTTCTTGCTGAGAATGAAGCGGCGTTCATCAAGGAAGGCCCTCAGAAATACAGATTTGCTCTTCTAGGTGCTGTAAGTTGAATCAATTTATTTTTGTAATTGTTAAATTTCTTAATGTCTTGAAATCGCACCCTGAAAGATTCTAAAAATTCATACGGTAGCACTATAAGCTTGGCGCAACTGGCAGCATTGGGAAAACTATCGTCCTACTCTAGAAAAATCAAGATACGCGGTAGCGTATCAGCCAAGAAAAAGTTTTGAGTGACTGTACAACTGGCCGAACGCTACTGGGTGTCTATACACGAAGCAACTACTCCCTCCACTACCTCCGAATCATGTCCATTAAATACAACGCAAACGTGACAAGGAACATAAAAAATACGCTTAGTTACATTATATAAATCGGCCACAAGCTTCTCATTGATGCAACTATTGTTTTGTTTGAATCAATCATCGAGACTTCAAATTTTGAGACCGTCTCGCTCTAAGAAAACATGGAAATTTTTAGGACTGTCTCAGTCTCAAAAGGCATACTATAGTCTCCTCTGATCATGACCCGGAGATAATTTGTTTCGTCACAGTCTACACTTTTCCCGTTTTTTTATATTTGGCCTCGGTTTCAGTCTCGGTCTCGTACATGTTAAAAATAGGATAAAAGGAGAAAACGAGACGAGATAAATTTTTTTGCAGTCGTGAAAAGTTGAGTCAATACTATGCCCTTTGAGACTGAGGGAGTCCCGAAAATTTTCATGTTGTTTTAGAGCGAGACGATCCCTCCAAAGTGCAGTCTCGTGCGCACCTCTACACTGTTAGAAAATTACTCTTGAAATTTCAAGTGAAAACGCTTGAAATTTTTAACAACGACAAAGTTATATGAAATTTCAGAATGTTTCTTCATTGACAATCAATTAATTTCTTGAATATTCAAGTAATTCTCGATTTTAAGGTCCCTAAAGCACTGAAAAACCTTGAAAATTTTGAAAATTCAAGCAATAACTTCTCTGAATTTTCAATATACTGAAAATTCAATTGTATGCGATGTTCAATTTTCACGACGAGTTTGGAAATTGAAGCTTCCATTGAAAAATCAATGATCCTTTAACATAAAATACCTAATTTTCTTAAATTTTTAAGGTGAATAAGAAATTTAGTAAAGGTTTTCATTTGAACTTGAATTCAAATTCACAACATTGAAAATTCAGATGACGCTGTGATTGAAATTTCAAGAAATTTCTAACAGTGTAGTTCATATGGACATTTTCGCATTTCACATTATCTCCTATCATTTTTTTTGACACGGATCCATACGTAAGCTTACAATCAATGGAATTGGTAGAAAGAAAAAAAGAGAGACTAATAACGCAAAAAGTAACGGTTACATGCCTCCTGGCGCATAGGCTCGAACCCCTGCTCGTTTTACAAAGTGCAGAAACGGAAAGTTGACACTTTTCAGCACTGATTAAATGATGCCACTATTTTCATCAATTTCAGAAAAATGGCACAGTCGTACCCGATAGAATAAAAGTTAAGCGAGGTCTCAACAATTACGTGGAAGTGGGTGAAGTAGTGGAATTCAAGGGAGAGAAAAAGCAGAATGTCTGGGCTGAGGATGGCCCCTGCAATGATTATCATGGAACAGATACCACTATTTTCCACGCCCTTCTCTTTGAAGATGAAGATGTTGTTTCTTTTGCTACGGATTTGTGTATCAGTCTACCAGCATACTACGTAAAACCTTCCAGTTACAAAGGTCAGTCACTATTGATATTATATGTTTGAGAGCTATTTAAAAATTGATTCAGTTAAATATTCATTCTGGTATAAATCGAACTTATACGTTGTCCACTGAGCATTGGGTTGGTGTCGAAGAAGCTCAATTCACCGAGCTAGCACGTCATCGCTGTCCCTGAAAACATGTATAGTTTTTCCCCAAATTGAATATGATTCCCCTGAGATTGCAGGAATTTGATTATACTATTAGAAGAAAAATGAAATTTGAAATTGCACTGGAATTTCAATGGAACTTCAATTTTTTCAGCAGGGGTCGAGCATTGCCCAAGTTAGAATTACATTAGATTAGATATATATCATATGATCTTTTGTACACGTAGAAATATTCAATAAAAATTACGTATCTTTTCCGTAATTTCGCAGCAAAATGTGGTTGTAGGAAATTTTACGGAACTGTCACGTAATTTTTCCAGAGCATTCCGTAATTTTTACCTGAATCCCCTGTGAAAAATTGCGATACCGTCACTCAAATTTTCTGAGTCGATTCCGTGATCGAGAAGCGAACTCTGAGATCCGTAATTTTTACTGAACATTTCTCTTCGTGTAACATCCGCTTTTATTTATTCAGTCCACCAGCCCCAGCCCTGTACCTTTTACTAGGCTAATGAGGCTGGCTACTGTCCCTTTACATAGGTCTTCTGGTTCTATGAAAGCCTGGCCCCAGATTTTATAGCGACAAAGTACTAAATAGGGGGCATTCACACAGGGCGTGTATGGTGTCCTCCCTGCCCCTCCCCCTCCCCCCCCGCCGATCTAGAGAGCTATTAACAAATGTACGCAGTAGCAAGTTCAGTGCAAATATTGCGCTTCTTCTTAGAATGGGCTTTAATTAGTAATATTTTGATATTAACTTATACTGTCTGCTGAGAGCGGTGCCCTTTAGGGCATTTTTCTAAACTTGTCACAATATCAGCGTAGCTGGACCATTAATGGCATCAGCATCATTGTACAACATAATGTACAGTTAATAAACCTTTCAATACCAATACCAATACCAATACCTCCCCCGCATAACCTGCAGTTTTGTTCTTCTGCAAGATTCAGTTTAAACAGGTGTGTTCTAGGGGTTTCGTGGCCTGTAAGAAGTCCTATCGTCAGTCTTAGATTCTTCCTGTGCATTTTCAAAAGTTCTTTGGTGCTTTTTTTAGACCGCACTCTCATCAGTCTTTTCGTCTGTCTGTTGCAGTATTTTTCCGGCATTTTTCATGCTTCCGCTGTAGGTTTTCTTTTATTAGCCTTGTTTCCATTGCGAAGGGCATCGCAACCAGAAGTTAAAATTGAAAATAGAAAAAATTAAGAAATCGAATAAATCCGAATCGCAATCGTGACTGCTGTAAAAAGATAGTTCCGACAAAAATGTTGGGAAAAAAGTTTTAACTCTAAGGAACTTTCCGCCCCTCGCCCTTCGGACAAAATTTGCCATTTAAAAAATCCCCCAAAAAAAAAATTAAGATTGGTCCGGGCAATTTTGTCTGGAGGACGAATATCAAGATGAGTAACGATTGCAGTTTTTTCAGTAATGTGTTACTATAGCTGGCTCATATTTTAAGATTTTACTGAATGAAATCACTGAATGCCATAATAATTGGGGATAAATTTCTAAAAATAAGGAATGGATCCCCGACAATCAGTGACATGTTTCTGCGAATTAAAACTAGTTTTTTCTCTATTTTACGAATATGATCTATATGATTTATGATGTAGAAACCCCTCGTTTTTATACAACTATCGGGAAATATCGGTTAACTACAGTTAATTTGGAGCGTCCTGTGGAGTTTTATAGTCGATTATTCATTATTATTTATCATTGACAGGTGTTCCTACGAATCTATACACCGCAGATTTAGGTGACATGAATAAAGATGAAGACTTGAAGTGCTTATGTCAGGCTCCAGATAAATGTATGAAGAAAGGTTACATTGATCTCTTCCCCTGCGTCGGTGCACCCCTGATTGCCAGCCTTCCTCATTTCTACCTCGGTGATCCCTTTTACTTGAGCCAAGTCGATGGTCTCAAACCAAATAAGGTACATATTAATAATTATATAAAGAATGATTTGAACGGTAATTTGACATCACTTTTCATGAGTTGAAAGGCATATCTATGAACGTTTAGCAATACTAAATGTTCATGACTTGTGTGATCACGTCGCTAATTAATTCGAATTTAAAAGATATTATGCTATCAATGAATTTAAACCTCTTTGAGATACTACATATAATAATATGGATAATTTTTTTTATGTGGACGTGAAAATGTTAAGTTTTTTTAGAAAGTTCGAGGAAATTTTTCGGTTTTCTACAAAATTCACACAGAAGAAAAAAATTTTTTTCCGGTAACAGTCTCTGGATTTGAATACTTCGTGGTACTGAAATCAAGGCACTTTGGTTTTGGAATTCAATACTTTGGGATTTTAAAATCGGAACCATTGGGTACTAGAAACAAGAACTCTAGGATTAAAAAGAAAAAGTTGAGATGTTAAAATTGACATCCTTGTCTCCGCAAATTATCTTCATCAATTACAGTTTTATATTATAACCTATCCAACCTAAGTGACGTTAAATAGCGGTGCTAGAAATGGCTAGACACCCGGAACTTTCTTTCCCTGTGGTCTAGAAAATTCTCGAAGTTATTAAAAAATCGATACAAATTAGGAGGTTTAACCATTTCCTGAGATATTTTGAATCTTCGTCGTTGCATGGAAACAATATATTATTTTTCATCACGCTGTGACGAAAAGTTAACTTTTCGGCACGCTCCGCGTGCCTAAAAGTCCAATTTCCGCCACATTGTGATGAAAAATATTGTTCGTAACTCGTGAAAAAATGTTTTTTAGCTCGTGGGATTATATCACTCGCCTTCGGCTCGTGATATAAACCTCCCACTCGCCAAAAAACACTTTTTTGCACTCGTTACGAAATATACTAATTTTTTACTACATGAACATAGTAATCGAGGACCATACTCGCCATACTCAAAATTTACTCTTGAACATAGCAAAAATTGCGAGTTGGTGTGGTAGAAAGTGATAGAATAAAAGTAAAATGTAAAATCCGGAGGTTTCCAAACAACATTGAGAAAATTTGGGGTTTTTGGAATAATTCAAGGAAATCCTTGGGTGTTCCCAAGAGTAGGTGGAACAAATAGACTACAAAAAAATAGCCCACATGCCCAAAACGTGCTAAAACCCACCCAACTTAAAAATTTGCCTTGGTCTGTTTTTTCTTTCCCTTGGTCTCTTTTTTCCATGGTCTATTTCTTCCGGGATTCGTTCCCAAGGGTTAAACCGAGCGCGCTGTTGCCACCTTGGCGCTTACTGCTATGCGCGCATTGCAAGTGTGACGGTGAATGTAACAACACTGCCGCTCGAGGGGTCGACAGGGACTAACTCGCACCGGGCGGCGTGGCGCCGCTTTTCTGTCCGTTCGACGTTTCTTTTCTTTTTTTAGCTAAACAAATTTCCCGAGAAAAAAATGGACAATGCCAACGCATTGAACTAGAAACTCTAATTTGTTCAGAATTTTTAAGCGTCGAGAAACACGTTAAAGTATAAAAAAACGACAACGGGCGTCGCCGCGCTAATTGAGCGAGTGATCGAGGGTTAATAATTTAATTTTTTTTAATTACTATATCTTTAAAAGGAAAGGTGTCGTTGAGCTCTGGGGTGTCTTAAAGAAGTTAAAATTCGATAATAACAGCCCAATGGAATTATTGAAATTAATTTAATTAGTGGAATTAATTTGCGAGGTGCCCACGTAATTTTAGTATTACCCATACCCATGTCTGATTGGAAATAAATTGGCGAAGTCCTCAATATAATTCCATTCTTTACCCTCATCAATGTAGGAGGATCATGAGATTTTCATGAATTTCGTGGCATTGGCGGGTGCACCTATAGAAGCAAGAAAACGCTTACAATTCAATATGTTCATTCATGCAGTCGAGAAGTTCAAGTTGATGAAGACTTTCCCGGATGCACTACTTCCATTATTCTGGGTGGAGGAGGGTGTTGCATTGGACGACGAATATCTAGCTCCGCTCAAGATGCTCTTCACGATGATGTCCATCGTTAAGTAAGTTTGTTCTATATCTGAGATCTTCTCGGGATTGATGTTGCTTTCCCGACTCAGCAGAGTAGATTACACCGTCATAATTCAATACAAACACAATACAGTTATATTATCCCCTCTGTCTCAGAAAAACGTGGAATGGGAGGTTGAAAATTGTGTCATTAGTGCTGCAACAATTTCTCGGATCGTTTCTTGAGATATTTTGAACCTTTGTCGTTGCACGGAAACAATATATTATTATTTTTTACTATATGAACATATATGAAATTTACTATTGAACATAGAAAAAAAACGAGTTGGTATGGTAGAAAGTGGTAGAATAAAAGTAAAATTTAATTTGACACTGTTAGAAATTTTTTTAAATTTAAGTAACGGATGCATTTGAATTTTCAATATTCTGAACTTGAATTTAATTTCAGACTAAATTGCTGATTCATCTTGGAAATTCAATAAAATGAAGTTTTTATCATGAATGATCATTGAATTTTTAATGACAATTTGGATTTTCAAAGCTATCGCGGAAATTAAGCAACAGATTGAAAATTCAGAAAAGTTGCCTGAATTGTCATGATTTTCACTAATTTTCATTGTCGTATGAACCTGAGAAATCAAATTTCATTGAATATTCTACAACATTCACTGATTTATCAATAGCGAGATCAATGAAAATTCCATGTAAATTATTCGGCGTTAAAAATTTCAAGATTTTTAACAACGCGCACCCTATCGAGCCCCAAATTAAAGAATCGCTTCATCGGGACCGTCCCTACCGATTTCAAAGTTTCTCTGTCGATTTTTAGAGATTCGAAGGTAAAAAACCAAGAAACAACATTTATTATTATTTAAAAAATTTTGGACACTGCCCCACTGTACCCCCAACTGTAATACGTTGGAAACGCGAGTTGATAATTTTAGAATGTGAATAATAATTGCTAAAAAGCAATATAAGTATGATAGAAGCGCTGACACCCGCCTCTTTGTCTTAGCTACTGAGAATTATTGAAAATTGACCAATAGTCAAAATGGACTTAAGGATGTACTACACCCTTTCGCCCAAAATTCACGTTTTTTCATTTTTCTGGCAAATTATTGATCAGATTAGCGCAAAATAATATACCGTTTTTGCGTTTTATCATTATTGACTGACTCACGAAATTTCATGGTAGTGCAATCATTTTCCTGCATTTTTTCCGAAGATTTGTGAGTTTCCAAAAAGTTTTAGAAAAAACGCAGGACAATGATTGCACGATCATAAAATTTCGTGAGTCATTAAGTAATGATAAAACGCAAAAACGGTATATTTTTTCACGTCAATCCGATCAATAATTTACCAGAAAAAATCGAAAAACGTGAATTTTGGCGAAAAGGGTGTAGTACATTCTTAAACAGTTTTACCGCTTCACTACTGAATGGATAGAACTCACTTTATCCATACGTGTCTCTCTTATTTTTGTTCTGCATTAAGAAAAAAATTATATGAATTCACTTTCCACCTGCTCCCATTTGTCATCCTAAAACCATTCATGTTTTTCTCCCGGATAATCTTAACCAATTTCGTAGAAATGTGTGTTGAGAACTAGCAGACGTTCGGGAACACTAAAAATTTTTGTATCAATCTTTCTAGTATTATGAAGTGGCTGATGATGGCCCTAGGTCTTGCATTAGCCGGCACCTCTGGCTTCCTGAAGTACAAGGAGATGCAAACCTCACAGAAGCTCACAATCACGAAGGTATCTCCTAAATTCACTGCGAATGGAATGGCGCCAGGTAGCACCGATAAAAAACGGCCCCTGGACGTGAATACACTGCAATCACAAACTGTGCCCGCTCTAGACAATTAATCACTGGGGACCAGTCGAAAAGCAAGTGAACTGGCCGAAAGCAATAACTCCAAATTTTGGGAGCAAATATCAAAGGATAGTTCGCTAGGAATTTTTCCAAAGCTTATCAGATTTTTTAATGACATTTCTCCCTAGAATCACTAGTTTCCAAAATAAATTCGAGTGCAGTTCTTTTTCGTTTTGTCCTTTCACTGCTGATTTTAATTACTGGTTACAATAGTTAGTTAATTTAATAGTTAGTTAATTATTTCAACAGAAGAGAATAGCAAAAACGGCAAGAAGAGTAAATTAATCCTAGAGAAACCCTCATTGAAAGGAATGTGTGTTTGAGTGATATTTAGAAATGTTGGAATTCTACTCCAAATCGATAATTTGATTATTTATTAATGATTAATAACCCTCTCAGTTCATGATTGATTTGAATGGTAAACAATTATTATGTATCACTAGTTTCTCAACGGAGTAAACTCGCAAACGAATAAAGTGACAGGAGGCGGCGCAATGATACTATTAATAAATTAGGATGTCTAATGCCAAAAATGTAGATAAGAAGTAAAAGTCAATTGATAATCATTGAATAGTCGTATCCAACGGAGTTACACGTGACTTCTCTCTTTTACAGATTCATTTACAAAAACCTACGTCAAGAACGATGTTACACTCTATGGTTCATAAAAATGAATGAGATAAAATTGGCAATTCCGTGACGTCAAGCATGAAATTCGTCAACTCCTCAACTGCTATGATAAACTTCAGTCCTTTTTCCATCCTTGGATCAAGCAGTGATAAATGATAATAACATGGAGTTTTTTTCCAAATGATTATGCAAAAGTTTTGAAATTCTCTCGGATTCCTTAGATCGTCGTCGGATATTTCTTTTAAAATAGATTGTGTTTTGCAACAGTCATTTCTTAAGTTAAGCTGTTTCAATCTCTGTAAATCGCCCTTTATTAATCAAACTAATAGGGCAATTTGTCTGATACGGGAAGAACGATTGTCTCCCATTATGAGGGGAGTGCAGAATTTGGTTCGGAGGGAAAATTTCGGCAGAAATCATGACTCAAATTCAATGACTGCTATCTTCACCTGCACACAATAGCTAGCAAGTGATGGCAATCAATAAATTCGAAATGTTATCTGATCATCAGGAATAATATAGTAGACTCCCCTGCATCTCTTTGCTTTGCTGAAGGTGGGGAACACAGTAAAATTTGAAAGTTCACTGAGAGAAAAATTCTCTAGTATGTAGACCATATTCACTTGAGACAAATTATTATTGAGTAAATTATTTTCACGGGCTTAAAATATTCTAGCCTTAATATTAATAACAATCAGCCCTAATATCAGTACTTAATTTTATATTTTAGTCTCAAAATATTTGCGTTCTGCGTTACATCATGAATATATTACATATCGAACATGGGAAGTGCATTAAAAAAATCATGAAAACAATAAATACTTAAATTCTTGTACTTAATTTGCGACAAAATCGCACTTGAGTACAAGAATATTTTAAATGAGACATGAGACATGAGACATGAGCTATTTTCTCGGACCATGTTAGTTGAGAAGTCTGGAACAATTAAGCGATTGAAGAAGAACTACTTGCATCAAGTAAATACGTTTCAGATATTAGAATTTTTTTTATCAGTGTAGGGGGATTGTCCTTACCATGCTGACGATTTTAGTACTCATTTTTTATACTCAAAAAATGAGAAAAAATAGGTTTCAATTTATTTCATTGACGGCATGTAGTTGTACATCCATAAAATCTTCAAAATTGTCTCCTGACCAGAATTTTCGATGGATTGACTTGAATTTTGGTTTCTAGTCGTCAAGTTTTTGAGGAAAAATCACTCGTGCTTCGCACTCGTGATTTTTTAACCTGAAAAACTTGACTCCTTCGTTTGTTTGCAACGAACCTATCGGGAATTGCTCGAGAATTTTAAAGCTCTCGTGGTATTACTTGTAGAAATCCTGTTGAAAATCTCATGAAATCCCATAGGACATCCTACCTAGAAAATTCTACAGGAAATGTTCGAATTCTCCATAGGATTTCCTCTAGCATATCCAATAGGATTTCTTATAGGAAATTGTAGCGTCCGTCAAGCACTGCCTTACGGCCGGAATGATAAAATTTTTCTTTGATCATTCATTTTACAAATCTGCCATACTAATGATCAAAATTAAAATAAGAGATAATATATTTCATTGGTGTGTCATATGGTCCCATGTCGCAAACGAAAGGGTCGATCCGAACGTTTGGAAACCCACTGCAAATTCTTTTCGGCACATTTTAATGCGTGAAGTGCGATTTTACGAACTTTTTTTGGGCCCTAAATCAATATGTCACGCACTCAAAATACCCCCACTTCTTGTCTTACGATATAAAGTAGAATTTTTCGCCCGTGTAAACTTTATTTTCATACGGTTGTGCTTCACCTTCTAGCAAAAGAAATACCCAATTTAATTATTCCTTTCTAAGCATCTGTCTACAACATGTTTTATCAATTCTATCGATTCGTTCCTCGATCAGTTGTTTAATGTAATTGTGCTCATCTACTCCATCCAGATCTGGAAAGTCAGTGACTCCACCAGACAAGTGACATGAAAAAATTAAATAAATTACTTATGTGTAATAGTTAGATACTAATGAATGAGAGAAAAGGAAAATTATCAGTTTCGAAAGATTGTTCTTCAATACTGAAAATGTTTATCTCGAAGTTTACCAATGAATTTATATACACCATTGTTACCTCTATGTTTACATCATTAAAATTTTTAATTCTAATTGCATTGAACGTAAAATACTAAGTCTAAAATGATTCAGTAGGTATAAGTGTTTGCTGAATCAATCACTAACATCAATGAAATGATGAATAAAAAACTTATAAAATCCTCCACGACAGTATTATTTACACTAAAGTCAGTCTTCTAATGAATAAAGCTCAGTAAGGAAAGTAAAAAATCAATCATATCAATTGGCACGTTTTCTCCCTTCGAAGGAGTCACTTCGACAGAGAAGAACGTTTTTGTAAGCGCTTCTGTACTCAGAGCTCATCACAACGTAGATCACTGGATTTATGCAGGTGGTCAAATAGATGAGGATGTAGCCCGCGATGTTGAGACCACGCCAGTCTATGATATCCTTGAATGTCTTCGAGATCGTGATCGGTAAGTAACAGATCAAAAATGAGGAAAAAATTGCTAAAATCATCTTGAGTAGTTTCTTGTCCTTTGCGGTCATTTTGCCAGACTCCAGGCCGCGATTTTTCATACTCCGGAAGCGGGACTCTCTTCGGAATAGGCTGTTTTTCTTTTGACGTTTTTCAGAAGATGAATCAGATCTGAAAAGGAGAGGCGTTTTTCAGTGTTCGAGTGGTAAAATTTGATGATTAGATTTTTCGCCCCGGCGAGCGCAAAGTACACATTTCCCTCGTCCAGTAGGGAAATCTGACTTTGAGCCTACGCCGAGGCGAAAAATACGGTTCGAACCATCCGGCGTCGGCTCGGGTGGTAAATCCGCGCGTTGACACGACTCCTTTATTTTACCTCCCTAGTTTAGAAATATACTATTTTGCTCCTCATTGGAGATTGAATCATCTTGATAAATTGTGATTTTAGGTGAAAATTTTTGGAAGCATTTTCGATTAGTAATTTTCTAAAGACAAAAAAATATGTATTCATTTTCTCTTCAAATCACTTAGTTCCAAGACAAACTCATAATTGGTGGAAGGACACTGTTAGAAAAAAATTGAAGTTCCATTGTCACTTGACTAGTAATGTTAAAGGGAGTAACATTGAACTCGATTTAAGAAGGAAATATCATCAAATTTCTCATTTTGCTTAAAATTCTAGGAAATTTCAAACTTGTAAGCAACAGGAGGACGAGTATTTCTCAACTTAATTGAATTCTCAGTAGAGACATGGATATTCAGTGCCAAATAGCGCTGAATTTTTATTGAAAATTCAAGAATATACTCATCCACTTGTGGATTTCTATCAATTTTGACGGGATAATTGAGCTGAAATTGACAATTTCCATTGATTTTTCTGTGGAATTTTGAATTTCCAGTGGCGAAATTCCTTGAAATTTCAGTGAAATTAGAATGTAGTAAAAATTTCCAGGAAGGTTGCCGAGAATTTCAGCTACAAATGTTTGACATGAAGAGAATTATCGAAAAGCATTTCATGATCATTTTTTAGATAATTCCCCGACTGGTTGAAGAAATCTTTAAAACTTAAAAGGGTTTCAAAGAGAAAGAAAGAAATCTTAGAATTGCTTATTACTAAATGTGTCCTCAATTATTGACATAATTTAATAACGAGCAGGAATCGCATTTTTATTATACCTACTTTGTTTTTAATTATTGAAGCATTTCAATAGTGAGTAGTGCTGGAAAAAACTATCAAGAATGATTTTTTGACAGCATTTGTCTAACTTCACGCATTTCATGATAAACGTCTCATGAAATTTCACAGTCGGTAAAAATAGTATATTTCGATACGAACTCGTGTGATTGGTACCTTTCCACTCATGAAAATTTTCGTCTCACATATGTTTATTTTAATATTTTTTGACAGTGATATCACCACCAGCGTGTGGCCGAACTGTGCCTTTTTCGTTTACAAGCGAAAAGTAAACGAAAAACGAAAAGGCACTTTTCGTTTGCAGGAGTGTAAAAAAACATGAAAAAATCTCCTACAATCTCTTACACATCACTAGATTCATCCTCCATACATACCTCGACGATGGAAATTCCTCCGAAATTTCCGAAGGTTCGTATCTAGATGAAGAGGATTGAGGTCTCGATGGTCCCTCAGAAGACGACTCATCCTTATGGAAACGATTTGGCACCTGGAGACACTGAATATCGCTCTCTAACATCTTCGAGGAGAGAATCTGTTGCTCCTCCGACTTGTCCTCGGTTTTATCCACATGCGAGATGCTGAAGTTCGGAATTACCGGATATATTCCTGATGCAGTGGAGTTTGCGGTTCCATTTTCCTTGAGAGACTCGGGGAATGGATCCTGAATAGTTCTTGGTGAGTTTGAACTGGAGTTGGAGTTGGAAGAGGTGCTGGAGGGGTCATTTACGGTGCAGCAGTTGGGATCAATGGGGGAGGTGTCCTCATTTTTTTCCGTTATTTTTTCCAAAGGTGGGGAGGAGGGGGTGGGCATGTTTTCGGGGAGCAGGCTGGATTGGGGGGTAATTATGTAGTGGGGGGTGCAACGATCGGTTTTTGTTGGAGAACCGCCGTTTTCTGTTGTGGATGTGGCAGTGGGACCGCAACTAGAGCCCAGCGCTGAGTCTTCAAAATTTTTTGTGAATTTCACCTGTGGAATTGGGAACAGAATCAAATCAATTTGAATTCTGATGAGTTTTTGGAACAAAACAGGGCAATTGTGAGAACAGGAGTGTACGGAAAAAGAAGATTATCTTATCGAATGAAAATTTCGCCACCCGGTTATGAAAAATTGCATTTTTTTGTATTCTTTTTCATTTTTTCGACGAAATTAATCCGGCAAATTAATTAAGCAGTTGTTGTTACCACGATAACTTAAAAAATAATCGAAATAGAAACTTCATACTTCCTAGTATTTTACGCCTTATGATAGTAAAAGTTTCGTGTTTTGGCTGGGCGAAATTGGATGAGTAGTTCCGGAGATGTTAAACTTTGTATGTGAAACTATTTTCTTTAATATTTCTCAAGCCAGGGGTCAGATTTCAATTTTTCTTTTTTCAAAATGTTCGTCATTTTTGCTAGTCATTCGCTGGCGAAACGAAAAAAATCATAAAATGTCGTAGCGGGGTAAAAAATCAGAACCCACCCCTCTCTCCCCAAATTTTTCAGTAAAAATTCGCTAACTCTCTTAGTTTCGGAGATATCCTTGAAAAATTCACCGAAGTACTAAGTCGTCTACGGCAGGGCGGAGAGGGGTATACTGAATTCTCGATGTACAACCCCTTCCTTACCCCATGTATAAGGTTTCCGAAGGGGACCTCATCGACAATGTACACGGAGAATTTACGGATAAATCGGCTTGAATCAAACCGAAAAATCGGTCTGAATCAAACCGAAAAATCGGCTTGAATCAAACCGAAAAATTGGCTTGAATCAAACCAAAAATCGGCTCGAATAAATTAAAAAGTCAGCTTGAATCAAATCGAAAAATCGGTATGAATAAAAACGAAAAATGGACTTGAATCAAACAGAAAAACCGGCGTGAATCAAACCGAAAAATCGATCTGAATCTAACAGAAAAACGGCTTGAAGCAAACCGAAAAATCGATCCAAATCAAACCGAAAAGTCGGCTTGAATTAAATCGAAAAGTCAGCTTGAATCAAATCGAAAAATCGACTTAAAACAAACAGAAAAATTGGTTTGAATCCAACCGAAAAATCGGTCTGAATCAAGTCGAAAAATCGACTTGCATCAGACCAATATTCCGGTTTGCATTTGTCCTAATCCGACTGCCGAAAAATCGGTCTGAATCAAGTCGAAAAATCGACTTGAATCAGACCAATATTCCGGTTTGCATCTGTCCGAATCCAACTGCCGGGAATCGACGTGTTTCTCATGTCGAATTGACGGCATGATCCAATCCGACTTGATTCAGACTGATTTTTCCCTCTGATGTACACCAATGTTTTTTTTTATTGTAACAAGTCAGTTGTCAGCATTCGGTTTTGAAAATATTTCTGTAGTATCTATTCTTTTTCCCATACTTTTTCAATCAAGCATCCATACTTTTCGTGTTTTCATGGTATAGCCTGCATATTCCTGATACCAGAATATGATATACCACATTCGCGGACATTTTTTTTTCGTGTCATTTTGAAACTATAGTGCCGAAAGAAATAATCAGAAATCACAATACTCTCTTTACTTAAGTTTCGTGACCGCACAAAAGGTTATTTGACACTTTGAAACTATCTGCATAAATTTCAGTTAGTGTCGCAATTATCTCTGTAATGAGGAATGTCCAGAATAACTACGAAAAACTTACCTCGAGACTTGCTTTAACAAGATTAGTGGTGGCTTTCTCCCTCCTCCTACTTTTCTGCGCAGTTTTCCTGACAATATAAAAAATCCTGGCGTAGCAGACGACAATGGCAATGCAGGGTGTCAGAAATGCCAATATGAATAGGAATTCTTTCGGGGAGCGGCCGTTAACATCTGGTACTATCGTGCAGGATCCAATAACTGGGTCCAGGCCAAAGCGACCCCAGTGCTCGAACCAGGTTGCAACGAGTGCCCCAAACCCGGATATCCATGTGGCGAGCACCATCAAGATTAGATACCTCGGTTTGTACAGTCTGCAAAAAAAGGGAAGTCATCTCGTGGAGAGAATGAATATAAATCTGGGGTTGAATTTATGAATATTTGGTCTCACTTGGGGTAGAGGCGGGGGTGGCCGATCATGACGTATCGATTTATCGTTATGGCGAGGACAGTGAAGAGGCTGACGGCGAGCAGACCGTAACGCAGCAGGGGAAACAGACGACAGAGTAGGGCTCCGTGCTGCCAGGAGCTGTGCCAGAAGGTTGATGTTGCTAATGGCAGATTGAAGCAGCAGAACATCAGGTCAGAGATCGAGAGGTTCATGATGAATACAGCTGTTGCATTTCTCAACTGAAATTATGAAATGCAAGGGTCTGTTCGATTATCTCGATCACAAACTGCTGCAGTTCTTAGCACACTGATAGAATGGTTTAGTGGAACCGAATGAGACTTTTTAACTATTACCACGATTCGTTAACTATTAGGGAATCTCGGTAACAGTTAAGAAGCCTCGCTTGGGTGCAACTGAATCGTTCCACCATTTCTGTCAGTGCATATAGTTCGGCACGGAGAAAAAATATACCAGAAAAATTACTCTGCTAGCACGGTACAACGGGTTTATTTTGTCAGCAGCGAAATTTTTGCGGTGCGTTACGAGAACTTTGTCCATTTTAAGGGGAAACTATGAGTTTTTAAACTCGCGGGCAATTGGAGTGGGGGCATTTAAATTGGTACGCCGGATAGAAATTGTTTAAGGTTTAAGGTTTACTTTAAGGTTTAAGGCTTAATTTCAGGTTTTCTTTGCAACGAAAGCACGGTTGTGTGCAACGGTTAGAAAATTGATAAAAGCAATTATGAAAAATGACTTTTCCACTGTTTATAAATAATTTTATCCTGTTGTCGAACATTAAATCCTTGGAATTTCAAGGAAATTGTCGATTTTTGCACACATCTAGTGGAAGTGATTAGTTTGCATCACGAATCCCAATTTGAAATCTTAGGTGAATGCGTAAAAAAATATGTTCTTTCGAATGAATAAATTTATTTTTAATTCGATGCGGTGGAACAATGAATTTACGCATAATTTCGAGGAAAAAGTTGATTTTAAGGATCAAGGACTAATGGAACCAAAAAATTGACGTTTTTTACGGGAAATTCAGGATTTTTCCTAAGAAAAACTATTTAACATTTTATTGTAAAATTGAAACTGTAGCCGTCAGATGTAATTGAAAAAGAAATAGAAAAAACTTTCATCTAAGATTTCTCCATTATTAATAGAGTTGTGAGAATCTACCAAATATTTTGCGGAATTTTCTGGTTTTCTATTCATTGTCAGAAAAATGGACCTGAAATTAGCAATTCTCTTTGATTTTTCCACGAAATTCTGAATTTTCAATGACGAAATTCCTCAAAATTTCAGTGGTAATTAAATTCGATCAAAATTTCTCGAAAGTGTACCGGAAATTTCAGACAAAATTTTTTATGTCGCGCCGTGCAATAAGTCGAGTTTATCGCACGCTGCGCTTCGCGCAGCTTGCTCAAAACTCGACTTCTGCACGACTTGACATAAAATACTATAAAGCACTCGGTAATAAATTTCGTTTTCAACGAATGTGTAGTTTACAGGCCGAGCCGAAGGCGAGGTCTGTACACACATTCGTTGAAAACGAAATTTGTGCCCTTGTACTCTAATGTACTATTAACAGCGTATCTTGAATTTGGCAATGGCTAGAATGGGTGAATACATGTGTATTCCTCAATTCCTCAACTACCAAAAATTCTCCTTCCCTTTGCAGAGAAACCACCAAAGCCCTTCCAACCATCTTGATGGTCCCTGAACATATCATCCCAAGACCCTCATCACCCAATAGCCCATCAAAAATATTCATAATCCTTCAAGAGGAAGTATAAAATCCAGACGAACATCACCGCTCAAAAGACTGGCCATAAACCCCAAACAATTTATTCCACCGCTTGGTTCACACACGTTAACCCCCTCCCACCCCTCCTTCCAGTACGGAATCTCACACACTTACTAGAAGGTAGTTCAGGAGTCAGTGAGGGATAGTGTGTGAACACAACGCTTTATCCATAAATCGGTGAATGTCCCGCGAGAATAAAGGAGAATGGGATAAACAGGACTGAGTCTCTGGAGCAAGAGGAAGTGCATCACTGGGTTAGTAGTGGCCACGGGGTTTTATGCTAAAACTATTTCAACCCAAGTCTCGACATCGTCGGTACATTCTCTCATCCTAGGCACCCTAGAGTGTTAAGCAACCGCCAACGATTTACGGATGCATAAAGCTGAAAAACCTTGGGACTCGAGTGCGCGTTGACCTCACTGGATTATAGGACATTTTGCATTACATTTTGCCGTTACTTTTTTTTTGTATCCTTCATTTTTCAACGCTTTTTTTTTCTCCACGATTTTATGGCACGGAGGGAGAAGAATCTGGGTCACGGGGAGGGCAGCAACGGGAAAAACATTGCGATCATTTTCGCTGGGATGAAAAACAAATCGTAAATTGTTGTTTCTTTTTTTTGGTGCGGGTTTGTCGATTTTTGTTGGGATTTAATGAGAGGGATAGGAGGAGGGGAGTCGGTTGATGTTATTTTGGAGAGCTTCCAAGTTGTGCTTGTTTCTTGATTGAAAGGATTATGGGATTTTTTTGAAGAATTGGGGATTTTTAGACTTGTGTTTTGTTTTATTTTCTGGCTCAGTATGGGGTGGCTTGCAAGTTATCTTATCGAATTCGGAGCGGGGAGTTTTAACTTTGCACATGTGATGCGATTGAATTCGTTGATGACACGATGGAAGCGTTTTCACTGAACAGAGAAAAAAATTAAATAAAGCAGGGATAGCCATTTGTAATATTTTATTACAGTTAAATATTGTTGCCATCAATTAGATAACATCATTCTTGAAATTTTTTGAGTACTTAAGTATCATCAATTCAAATATTCAAATTTTCAACTATTTTATCAATCAATAACCGAGGTAGGAAGATTGATGATTATTTGTGTAATCGAAAACCCCCTTTCAAGAAATTTGAATCCTTCATTTAGTAGTAAATTTACAGTTTTATATCAACAAATTTTAAATACATCATTATTCGTAAAAAATCCGATTGTTAATATTCTATTATTTGAAAAATTGAATCAACATATTTTAAACCTTTATTAATATAAGGGTCAAATTCTTGTAATATTCCAGAAATTTTATACTGATGGGGATTCCTGAAATAATGAGAATTATCTAGAATATTGTTATGCCCCAGATTCGGTCAACGGCGTTATTGTTGACTATTTGGAGATACAGCATCGTCAACGTGATACTTGCCAGCGTAACTGGATTCTGCTGACCAAGTGACGAAATATAAACAATCAATGTATTATTTAAGAGGCTTTGGAAGTCTGCACAGATCAGAGCTGAATTGGACCCCGCCGCGTACAAAAGTCGTAAACTCTTTGTAATCAGTCAGATAACAGTTATTATAATGAAGTTATAAATTCTAAAAGTTAAATTCCAAAGTTATAATTCTAAACCACTAGTGGGATTTATCCCTCCACCGTAGGGCGGAAAGTATTCACTTTCCTTCCGCTTAATGTGGACTGTCCGTGCAGGTGTGTGAAAAATAGTACTTTTCGCCCTTGGTGCGCCACATATTAGGGTAGTTGGTGCACGTACAGCCCACCTGAGGGAAATAATTCTTTTTCTCCAGCCTCACACTCTATAGGGAGTCATAAACGGTTAGAATGGGTTCTTCGAGGTGTTTATTCGAAGATGTGAAGAAGACAGATTTTTTATTAACATTAAACATATTTAATTATGTAATTCAATTGCCATCGGCCAGTGAGCGATGCAATCGAACTTTGAGGGTAATACCGCCCGACATGCGTCTAATACCGCCCACCTTGTTTTGATGACTTCTTTGAGCAATGCAGACCAATTGTTATAATTTTTCCTATTTTCATCCTTCGTTTCCATTCTTCGGCTTCATTTCGTGAAAGATTTCGCGTGAATCATACACGGAGAGAAATGTTCAGTAAAAATTACGCAACTCACAATTCGCTCACCGATTACGGAATANGGGGCCTGCGGCCCCTGGACCCCGCTCTCCTCCCCCCCCCACACCCCCGGGCATTCATGACAAAAAATAGTATGTGCCACTCGGCCCGTAGTGTCGGTTTGCGATTCGTGTGAGTTAGCAGCACTCATCGCAAACCTCCACTTACGGGCCTTGTGACACAAATAACTATTTCTCAAATTTCCGGTGCACTTTTTGGAAATTTTTATCGAATTTAATTACCGCTGAAATTTCAAGGAATTTCGTCATTGAAAATTTNTTATAATTTTTCCTATTTTCATCCTTCGTTTCCATTCTTCGGCTTCATTTCGAGAAAGATTTCGCGTGAATCATACACGGAGAGAAATGTTCAGTAAAAATTACGCAACTCACAATTCGCTCACCGATTACGGAATAGACTCAGAAAATTTAAGTGACGGTATCATAATTTTTCACAGGAGATTCAGATAAAAATTACGGAACGCTCTGGAACAATACTGTGACAGTTCCGTAAAATTTCCTACAACCACATTTCGCTCCGGAATTACGGAAAAGATACGTAATTTTTATTGAATATTTCTCTCCGTGTAATAAATTATAGAAACCCTGAGTGGCTTTACCCACAAACTCTGGGCGTAATTACTCACAAACGCGGAGGCTGATAAAATATCCAATAATAACAAAAAATTCTGTGACAGTTCCGTAAAATTTCCTACAACCACATTTCGCTCCGGAATTACGGAAAAGATACGTAATTTTTACTGAATGTTTCTCTCCGTGTAATAAATTATCCTGAATTTACCCGATGTTCCAGTGGCTACGGACTACTCCAAACAATTGGGCTGTCACTCGACCGCCCTCTAGCTGCAGAGTCTAACAGCCCTATAGAANTTGAAATTTCAAGGAATTTCGTCATTGAAAATTTAGAATTTCGTGGAAAAATCAAAGAGAACTGTCAATTTCAGTTCCATTTTTCCCTGAAAATAAATGGAAAACGAGAAAATTCCACTAAATATATTTTTGAATTATCAGGGCAGTGACACTAAATGCGGTTTAGGAGGGAACAAATCACGAAATTTCAGATTCCAGTGAAAATTCAATGTAATTTGGCACTGAATATTCATATTAAATTGGAAATTCAAATAAATTGAGCTACTCTCCCTTTTANAATTCTGTGACAGTTCCGTAAAATTTCCTACAACCACATTTCGCTCCGGAATTACGGAAAAGATACGTAATTTTTACTGAATGTTTCTCTCCGTGTAATAAATTATCCTGAATTTA